TGCCCATAAAATTTGATTGGTTGGAACTACTGCTTTCATATTTCTCATGTGTATTCCTAGTAACAAGGACTTCCTTCAGGTACCAACATATTTGAGCTCTTGACCTTGAACTTGGAGTTTGATCCTCTTTCGCAAAATTTTACCAAACTATAACCTTGGCCAAAACTTTTGAACAGTTGGTGCCATGGCTTTTATACTTCACATCTGTATCCCTTGTGATAAGTCTCCTCCTTGGGTATAAATATGTTTGACCATTTGACCTTGACCTTGGAGTTTGACCAACTTTTAAACAACTTTTGCCTTGACAATAACTTTTGAATGACTAGTACTAGGGCTTTTATATTACATAGGTAATTTTCTTGTGACAAGGCCTGTCATTGTATACCTTTAATTTTGACCATTTTACCTTGACCTTTGATTATGTCCTACTTTTGAAAAACTTTAACCTTGGTTTTAACTTTTGAACAGTTGGTGCTAAGGCTTTTTTAATACCACATGTGTATTCCTTGTAACAATTAAGACCTTCCCTCAAGTACAAACAATTATGATCCCTTGACCTTGGAGTTTGACCTTTTAAAGAAATTAACCTTGGCCATAACTTTTAAACTGTTGCTGCTGTGGCTTTCATACTAGTATATATTTCACAGTATATTCTTTGTTCAAGACCTTTATTTGGGTAATAACATTTTTTTTTATCTTTTGATCTTGACCATGGAGTTTGACTTGCATTTGAGAAACTTTTAACTTTTGCCATAAGATGCCATATGGGGGCATCAGTGTTTCAAAAATCACACGTTCTTCAGTATCCAAATTGGGCATAAAACATTTACAATGATCCTTTAAAGCAGTGAGTTGAACCTAATAAATTACGACTATAGAAATTATGATAATTTATTTCGATGTATGGTCTAAAAAAACGTTTATTATACCTCTGTGAAAACTAGCTTACAAGTGAAAAATCACTAGTAAAATATAATTTGATTGGCCGAGAAAGTCACGTGTCCATTATGTTTGCCCTGCAACAAAACGTCGTGTTTCACGATTGTGACGTCACAATTAAACGAGTGAGGAGTTAGATTGTTTATAGCGACGCTGCTAAATTCGTTCGCGCGGTAACAACAACTAAAAATTCACCCCAAAAAATCACCTTAATTAATGGAATTGCATACAGATAGTAGATTAAACGTGCTTTGTTAAAATGTTTGCACTTTTCAAAATTCGTTTATGGAAATACAGCTAACATACGTCATGAGACGTCACAGTCTAGACGTTCCAAATGTCTCGTGCTGTTTGAAGAGGCGGATCTTAAAATTAAGTGAACAATGCACTCGCCCAACGGTCGCACCGTCAGCATATTATCGTTGATTGATTGTGTCGATTTAAATGTGTAAAAATGTAATGGTGTTTGAATGTTACTGGTGTGATCACACAAACTTGTCCCGTAGGAATTTTTTTTTTAATGAAACGAGGCTATTGGTGTACCTGTAACTTACATCTCTTTCATATCGTTCTCATCAAATGCATGTTTGCTTTATTCATTGGATCTCCTTTGTAATTCCTGCATTTTGGTTAATTCGGTATTATAAACAATTTATTGCATAATAGTGAGGGAGACATAAAGATTTCTTCGCAAATGAAAAATCATATTTCTCTAGGGCGTTGCCTTCGGGGAGTATGATTTTTCATGGGCGAAGAAATCTTCATGTTGCCCTCGGGGAATATGATTTTTTATGGGCGAAGAAATCTTCATGTCTCCCTCACTATCATGCAATAAATGCAAACTGTGAACTTGTCAATTGCGAAACACACAAAAGGGTATCGCTGATATCATACAGTGTATCATTGCCTTGATCAGGCCCATAGGAAGCAAATTCAGGGGTTTTTTTTTTGGGGGGGGGGGGGCACAGCCATACATTTTCAGTTGACAGTTGAGGGGGCACTACTACCATAAATTTCCTGACAAGCAAAAAAAAAGGTCACCAACTACCAAAAATTCCTTGACAAGCAAAAAAAAAAAGAAGGTTATCAGACGTTTCTTTTGAGGTGGCACAAGCTATAGTATCTATGTCTACTATAGTAATCTATATATCGGCAAAATTATTGGGGGGCACGCCCCCCCCCCCCTCGGTTCCTACGGCCATGTTGATTAAATTTAGGGTCACTAAGGAAAGAATGTTTTGATTGGATGAATGGTCTGTAAGAACATGTGTTAACTTGTCGAGTCGGTAACACATAGATGGGGTTTGCTTATAACCAGAGTGTGTCATGGTTTGATGCAAGGTCATTTGAACGAGTTCAAGGTCATCAACGGAGAAACAACATTCCTTAACTGTCTTTCTACTGGTGAGACATTGCAAGTTGATACCCCTTACAAGATTGCTTATAACCTTAGAATGTGGCATGACCTTGACTCAAGGTCACTTCTTCCTGTTCGCAGCTCCAACGGAAGACCTACTCGTTGCTTTGCAACGGGCTCTGCTCTAGTTACTTATATTTACATTTGTGACTTTATTCATATTTTATATATGCCTGATTATAATCTGTAACGCGTGAAATGCTTTATTTTTCAAACTCAACGGCACGAGTTTGATCTATTGATTGCGCGTCGACCCTTTATGACGTCACTGAGAAATTACGTTTAACATTTATGACGTGAGGAACCTGTGTTCATACAGATATAGATACGCGTTGCTTTCAACAGTGTTATATAAAACAATACGTGCAAATGTAAATATATGAAGATGATGTGCTTTCAATTCACTTCGACATACCCATGTTATTTGAGATGTAAACTGCTGTTGCTAAACACCTCCTCACTGTTACTATTCATTTCCAAGTTTTAATCTTTAAATAACAAGAGATGTTTGTGAAACACTCATCCCCCCCTCCCCCCCCCCCCCCCCCCCCCCCAATAATTGGAATTTTTCTAAGTCCAAGGGGCATAACTCTTGTCAAATATTGCTTGATCATACCCAAACAGAACTTGACCTAGATATTCTTATGATAAATCTGTACACCAAATTTCATTTCAGTATGTGCAACTTCTGCGAAGAAAATGAACGGAAACTGCAAACAATTGGAATTTTTCTAAGTCCAAGGGGCATAACTCTGTCAAAAATTGCTCAATCGTACCCAAAACAGAACTTGCCCTAGATATTCTTATGATAAATCTGTATACCAAATTTCATTGCAGTATTATGCAACCTCTGTGAAGAAAATGACGGAAACTGAAAATAAGAGACCCATGGGCCACATCGCTCACCTGAGCAAATTGGCTAGGCAAAAGCACAAATCAGTTCAGTATTGAAAAGTTTAGGGGGGCTTGAATTTTAAACTACCTGATGATGCTTCCATGTCAATATAACAAATGGCTTTGTTGTACTTCAGAAGATTTTTAAAAATTTTGATCCCCCATTGTGGCTCCTCCCTATCCAAGGGGTCATCATTTGAACAAACTTGAATCTACACTACCTGAGGATGCTTCCATATCAATATGACTAAACACAGCTTTTCTGTTCTTGAGAAGAAATATTTTTTCTATGTGTTCTTATGTAAAACTTTTGATCCCCCATTGGGCCCTGCTCTACCCCCTGGGGTCATCATTTTAACAAACTAGAATATATACTATCTGAGGATGTTTCATATCAAAATGACTATCATGGCTTTGCAGTTCTACAGAAGACGAAATTTTCCTATATATTTCTATTTAAGACTTTGATCCTCCATTGTGGCCCCGCCGTACCCCCGGGGGTCATGATTTGAACAAAATAGAATCTACACTACCTGAGGATGCTTCCACATAAATATGATCAATCATGGCTTTGCTGTTCTTGAGAAGATTTTTAAAATTTTTCCTATATATTTCTATGTAAAGCTTTGATCCTCCATTGTTGCCCCACCCTATCCCCGGGGGTCATGATTTGAACAAACTTGAATCTACACTATCTGAGGATGCTTCCATATAAATATGACTCATCATGGCTTTGCTGTTCTTGAGAAGATTTTTTAAAGGTTTTCCCTATATATTTCTATGTAAAACTTTGATCCTCCATTGTGGCCCCGCCCTACCCCGGGGGTCATGATTTGAAAAAAACTTGAATCTACACTATCTGAGGATGCTTCCATATAAATATGACTCATCGAGGCTTTGTTGTTCTTGAGAAGAAGATTTTTAAAGGTTTTTCCTATATATTTCTATGTAAATCTATGATCCTCCATTGTGGCCCCACTCTACCCCCAGGGGTCATGTTTTGAACAAAATTGAATCTGCACTACATGAGGATGCTTCCACTTGTGTTTCATCTTTCCTGGCCATGTGGTTCTTGAGAAAAAGATTTTTAAAAAATGCTATTAATTTTTCACTAATTCTTTATTATCTCCCCTTGAAAGAGGATGTGGCCCTTCATTAGAAAAAAACTTAAATCCCCTTCACCCAAGGATGCTTTGTGGCAAGTTTGGTTGAAATTGGCCCAGTGGTTCTGGAGAAGAAGTCGAAAATGTGAAAAGTTTACAGGCAGACAGACGGACTACAGACAAAATGTGATCAGAAAAGCTCACTTGAGCTTTCAGCTCAGGTGAGCTAATAATTGGAATTTTTCTAAGTCCAAGGGGCATAAATCTGTCAAAAATTGCTCGATCGCACCCAAAACAAAACTTGACCTAGATATTTTTATGATAAATCTGCATACCAAATTTCATTTAAGTAACTATGTGCAACCTCTGCAAAGAAAATGAACAGAAACTGTTGATGGACCGACATACAGCTGCCCTCCCTTCTTCAAGAGGGGGCATAATAAAATAATTAAGATGTTGCCTTTCCTGACTTGGTTGAGGTGAATTTGAAATGTAATGAAGTTACATTTTGATTAAAGATTTTGGTAACCTTTGGATCACTTTTTTGATTCCAATTATACTACTTAATTCTGAATGTACCTTCATTAAATCTTAACCCAAAAGGTATAATTATTCAAATCATATGTTTTCTAACATATTTTACTTACTTGAATTTAAAAACCCTTCCTGATAGTTGCAAATCTTCATTTGAATCTCTGTCTGATTTAAGACGGTTAATTTTTGTTCACACTCTGCATCTTCAAAACATGCTGCCACATCAAGATCAAACAAGTATCTTCTATTTCGCATATCTCTTGTAATTGTGTACCTAAAACATAGAAAATATATAAGATCCAAATAACCCAACCTGCTGTATATAGTTTCACCTTTTGCATTTCCACTCTGACCCCTGACCTTAGATCTTTAGACCTCAAAATCAATACCAGTCATCTACTCCTTAAGGGAAACCAATACAGCAAGATCAGTCTGTAAAGTAAAGGGTTCTCTAGATATTGAACAGACAAATTCTTCCTATGTCTAGAGTTCTTTGACCCTTAACCTTGTGAAAAATCAAAATCAAAAGGGATCATTTACTTTTCAGGGGGTACCAGTGTACAAAGTCTGCCAAGCAAAGGGTTCTGGAGATATTGAGCAGTCATTATCTTTCTTTGTCTAGTTTGACCCTTGACCTTTGATCTTGTGACCTCAAAATCAATAGGGGTCATTTTCTCTAAATACTACGTTCAAAGTTTGTCAAGCAAAGGGTTCTCAAGACATTGAACAGAAAATATTATTAAACCTCATCATAATTATTCTATACAACTTGTCACTAGGTTGGTTCTTGACAGTTTTATTAGGGTCATAAAACTTCATAATTCCCTGTTATGCTTTTCATTATATCCAATCTCTTCCGAGACCTTGTGCATTTTCCTACAATACTTATCATTTATTGAACGAACACTTCTGGGAGCAACAGTCATCACAAAATTTACAATAGTAGAAAGGTTTCATGTACCTAGCAGCAATAAAATTAGCAATCTTCTTTCCAATAAGGATGCTTTAAAAAATCACAGAAAATCGAAGACAATTAATAGTCTATGAAAAGTCGTCATGGACCTCTAGTAAAGTTTTACAGTGACTTTTTATTTTAAACTGAATGTGAACTTGAGAGTGGTGTGAAATTTGAAAGTTTCTGTTTAATTTTAAAGGCTTGGCTTGTTTCGGTATGACTAAAAATTTATTGCATGAATGTTCCAGAACTATGAAGATTAATTCAGCCAAGAAAAGCTCAGTCAAAGCCCTCGTGGAATATGATTTTTCTTGGCTGAATATATCTTCATATTTCCCTCATGATCATGCAATAAATGTATATTGTCCCACATATTGTTTGACACTTCACCTTGTGACATCAAAATCAATAGGCATCATCTACTTTTCAAGGGATACCAATGTACTAAGTTTGATGTCTGTCAAGCAAAGGGTTCTTAAGATAATGGGGGGGGGGGGGGGGTAACAACTGGTCTACTGACTGACATCTAGCAGACAGGTGCAAAGCAATTTAATATGCCCCCTTTTTTTAAGAGGTGCACAAAAATCATATGAATTGATATAAATACACTCACGTGACTTCAAAGATTCCTTTTAATGAGAATTTCTCTGTCGTGCCTAAAAAGACCAAATATTAACCTTATTAGTACAGACAGTCACTTATTTAGGTGGTATATGCCACACAAAATGTCTATTAAATGGATGTTTAAAGCATCTCTTTTGACATATGAATTCATCACTAAAAGACCAATATAAGCTCTGAATTATTTAAGATTTTTTGGTACTTTTAAGAGAAAATTGAAAAATTCTTGTACTTACAAATAAAACATCCAAGAGCTTCAAATTTACTGTTAACACAAATAAATAAATAAACAACAAAAGGCCCAAGGGTCTTAATAGTCACCTGAGTATAATACAACCCTGAGCAGAGAAGGTTTTTGAAGAAATAATGCATTTTCATTACACACTGTCGATTCCTTATTTTTCGCAAGTACTTATTTTCGCGAAATGGTTCTTTAACGTCAAATCGCAAGAACAATAATTTGTGAGTGGACATTTGATCAAGGGATTTTACATTGATTTCAGCACCATAAAAAATAAAAGCGAGTAATTTCATTTCGCGAGTGGTGCTTCTCGTGTAATTAAGCGATAATTGATTCCTCGCATATATTTAGGAATCTACAGTACCTCCTTAATTCTATTTACATGCTATGATGTATCTCAGCATGTGACTTAATACTTCACAATTATGCTCAATCCAGGTAGAGAAAAAGACTTTGTTGTACCCAACAACACTAATGCTAGATAATTTGAAAGAAAGGCCAATTACCATATGCAAAGTTTTGTAGATATTTTGTCTGGGACAGTCTTTCAATGGTGAGTTTCAAAAAATTGGAACACTCGTCAAATTCCACTGATACTTCAATAGTTCTCTTGTTCAACTTTGTCACCTTCATACAACAGAATAATGCACTACAGGATGATTGATAAACACATGTCATTCCATCTGGTAAAACAGGTAAGAGTGGGTCTTTGGGACAATCTGAAAATACATGTACATTGAGCATTTGACATTCAACTAACAAAGAGGCCCAAGGGCCTGAATTACATAATTAAACAAAATAAACTGATAGATGAAGATACTTTGCCCAAAAATGAGAGATATAGGATGATCAGCTAACAAGAAATATGTTAGTCTAGTCTTGAAATCTATTGACTTGCCTGTATTTGCCAGAACTTGACTTGAGCACATAAAACAGTATAGATGTAATAAACCCAGCAAAATCCTACTCACATTGGCCTCTCTTGGACTTAAAATGACATTTTATTTACAAATATAGGGTATTTTTGTCTCATTTTTATTTATTTAATATGTCTAACAGTGCACCATTAGGGCAAGTGCAGTTTACTTTTGAAATAATTAAATAATTCTAAAACTTTCTACACCTCTCAAATCTCGTTTGCATGCTGCTCATGACATTACAATTTTTAGTAATTTTTAGTAGAATCTGTAATCTGCGGTACTGCATAAGGTCTTTTTGTTTTATTTGAAAATGATATTTATGATTCAAAGATATACTCTCAAATTTTGCACACTCAATCCCCATGCATCAAGATCAAAATTCCAAACTTTTCAGATATTTCTGACAAATCAGAAAAGATCAGAGCCATAAAAGTGAAGAAAATAATATGACGTTACATGCAAAGTTGTTTAATGAAAATTGCAAACCGTAGTTTTTTTCAAGCTGTTGCTATGCTTGAACCACAATGTTGCTATGCACTGCAAAGGATTATTGGGAGTCAGGAATCATTTCACGTTGACTCATAAAAATTTCTTTGAACAATGTGTAGATTCCAGTCCAAATTTTCTCTGTTCTTACATGTTAATCTACCAGGTACACAGATCACTACGAGTGGCAGTTTGTGCCGCTTGCTGCATTCGCTATTATTCATAAGTCTACCTGTCCATTTAAAACTTTTAAAAGTACTTTTTATATTATATTTAAAAAAAATCTTGTATCATTCTTCAATTCAATTGACCTCTTAATTACATTATTTACAGTGATTAATTATCAGATGAATAACAAAATGGAATAACTTCTTTCATCACAGCATAAAAATTTCCCTACAAGATCAACAGAGCACTGTCCAGCACCAGAACCCTTGACCCATGGTCAGGAACATCACAATTGTGGCATCCTTACTCATCATAACCATATACTTAGCTTATTTGCTAAATAGCTATGGGCAGAAAAGAAGATTTTCAATAAATTAATGTATTTTCACTTTATAATTATTAGAGCCCTGCCCTAACAACAGAACCCCTATCCCAGAGGCCATGAATATCACAATTTGGAAGAGACACCCTTGCACATCATAACCATGCACTTAGTTTGTCTGCTTAATATACAGGGAGAGAGAAATTTTTTTTAAAGAATTCATGCATTTTCACTGTATGATGAATAGAGCCCCACCCTAACTCCAGAATACCTGTCCTGGAGGACCTTTTTGAAGTCATTGACAATAAGGTTTTGCATGCCGTCAATTATAGCTATAATTACCAATCGTCTATGCACATAATGATAAAATCCTTATTCTCTTCATTTTTTTTTTAGATACCTGCATCCTTTATTTTCCAAAGAGTGAACACATTAAAGTGTATTTGCTAAATTGTTATTAACAATATATTTCAATATGTAGTAGTTAATCCAGCTTGGTCAAACAGTATAATAGAGACAGTATTTGAAATTCATAATCCTTTATTGATATTACTGTATTGTTATTGCGTGTGGTTTCCATATCTTTCTTTTTTGCCAAAAAAGATGAATTACATTTAAAGGTCATAGGAAACGATTCTTAACACTAGGATTTCACTTTTTAAACCTAAAGCTATATACGAAAGAATGTTAAATTACGAGTAGTAATATTTTTTGGCCTTTGTTCTACTGAAAAATAAAGGTGAAAACTTTTCCACTTGTTACTTTTCTTACCCGCTTATCATTCTTGATTTTGAGGTTTTATGACGTCACAAGAGCCCACTGATGTAAACAGAGCATTAGACTAATGTATTTCTACCATATTTTATCTAGTTAATTTAAGCTATTTTTGTAAGTATAAATGTGTCTATGTTTTCGGGTGAGTTATCTGATTTCGTAGTTCAGTCAATTCAGTTTGAGCGAGTCGTTTATAAGGCACGGCAACTCAAAACTGGAGCTTTTTATCGGAGGATGATCCTGATGAATATCCTATATAAAATTACGCTTAAATTAAGCTACAACTTCGATTACTTACTCTACATCAAACCTTTAGAAACAAAAAAATATTTCCCTGTTTAATACACATATACGACATACCAAGAAGATTTCATCGTCATTCAAAAAAGTTATTAAGTCTTTTTTATTCCAAGAAAAATCGCATAATGCAACATAGAATAGAGCAATTTATTAAAAGTGACCTTTTCTGCTTAGAATAAAAATTTTGATTACGCCTATAATATTCTGTTAAAGAAAGATATATGACACGTATTTGGGGAATATCCCTAACGTGAATCCCCAAAATAAACACTGGGGCCATGCAGTGGTATTGAAGTCCATGATAAGCATGAGCCACTGAAACTGTCAGCGTTTTGAAGTTTCGTTTTCCCCGATCTGAAACACACATATTGCTGTTAAAACGATACAGCAATAGAATCCCTGAGTTTATGACATGATCGTATTCTTCTAATATATATATATATATATATATATATATATATATATATATATATATATATATATATATATATATATATATATATACATATATGTATAAATATATATATATATATATAAAGAAGAAATGTTGAGCCCAGAGCAAATGAGATTGTTACGATGCCGATACTTTGTGCAGTCACGGTTTGACTTGACAATATCGATTTTTGAAATACTCGGTATGTAGTAGTAAGAAGTACAGTCCGTGATCAGTTTGCAAATCCATCCATCATTTGCGAGACTACAATTTTAATATTAATGTTCTTTTTAACAGGTAATAAAACTTTTGAAATTATATCCTTTACAGAAAAAAAACCCCCCGTAAATATAATATACACTGGAAATATAAATAGGTTTATATACGATGATAAGTATTGATCTTTGATAAATATTTTAACAAATTGATGGGAAAGATACCTACCTTTTTTTTTTTGGTATTTTATGTATTAAATTTTACTAAATCAAAAAAAAAAAAATGTCGATTTCTAATTCATTCAATATCTACATTTGGTAGAATCCTTATTCTTCATAGAAATATTTCCACGTTAGAGCTGCCTTTTTTTCTTTAATACATAGGTCTAACGTTACATGTTTAAACGGCGTTTGTACTAACTCGCATATATACAAGTTTACGTTTAGTTTTTGCCAGAGTTGTTTTTAACCCATCTGCAGTGTGTTTAAAAATGGCAGGATTAAGAACTTTAAAGAACTTTCAATTACAAAAACAAAGAAATAACAAGGGGGAGGGAGGCGCCATATTCTCTTTAGAGAAGTGGACAGGCTTTCGCCTACATCCAACATGTGGATGTAGGCGAAAGCCTGTCCACTTCTCTAAAGAGAATACGGATGTAGGCGAAAGCCTGTCCACTTCTCTAAAGAGAATAGGAGGTGCCAGAGAACGGGTATTGGTGGTGATGTTGTACAGTAAGTGAATTAAAGACTGTGTCAAATGATAAGAATTGATTAAATTGTATAAAACAGTAACACAAGAAATTTTTTTCTTGTTTTTTTAAGCCATGTGATGCTACACAGCAGGTACGTATCGTTTGTCAAGAAAAGTGTCATCATATACTGATACTGACACTAAAGTGTTGGACTCTTGTGTGAAAGTAAAACTAGGTTGTAAATAAATGATTTCATTAAAACAACTGCCCTGGTTATGAAAAATGAATTAATTCTCATTCTCCCTCTCCCTTCTTTCTCTCTTCCGATCGCTTTATTTTTCTCTCAATAGATCGAAGTGTTAAACGATGAAAATGATCACATTTTGACTGATAAAACATGCAAACATCTTGTAAATATGCAATGGAATTTTTAAAAAGGAATACTGGCCTGTTTGAAGATCGTATATTTATACAATGTTTTAGTCATGATTATGATATTCTTTAAAATTAAGCTGCAAAATGCATGATAGTTTGTAAACATTGCATAGCTTTGAACAGCGACTGGGCCTTACTGACGTCATAAGCTAAGGGAGATAAGCAACGTTAGTCAAAGTGAATTTTCACAACTGAGTAATTTTGATCGACTGTGCTGTAGCTATCTTGCGTAAAAAATCCAAAAAACAATTTCAGTCTTATCTTACAAGCTCAGATGAACTTATTCCAGTATGTAACTCAATATGTTCAGGTAATTGTCTCCTATGACCTTTAAGTAGTAAACTGATTGAAGATAATTAAAAACCTAAACATATTTAACTGTTATAAATGTTGTAAAGGCATTACGAAGCATTATACAGATTGATTGCATGAAAGACGAAAATGAAAAAAAAATTACAAAAAAAAAAACCAACAACTATTGGACCTTTTTTCCATGAATTTATGTATCCTCAAAACTGAATTTTACTAAATCCATGAAAATTGTTGCCCATAAATATTGATGAAACCACGTACAGTATTAAAATTCTGTGTGCAAGTTTTCATCTATAAAGGAAATCTTGCTGGGACTAGGATTTTGAGTTCATTTAACAAAATGTTGTATACTCAATGAAAATTTTAATTCATAAATTTAAATGTCTACATCTGTATCAATTTTGATGCAAATTTTAAAACAAACCTGTGCAGGAGTAGCTTTTTTTTGAAAATGTTTTAGTTAACTCATCTAAGACACACTGACAAATTCCAGAAATTAATTAAGGTCTCCTGGTTTCTGACTTACCATTTATCCATCCACTGACTGGTACTGTTGTATTGTAAAGAGGACCTGATAAATCACATGAGATTTTGTTCAGCATGTTTGCAATTCCTCTTTCTTCAAATAACAGATCCTGCAAAGTGTTGGATACCACAGAGTTGGAAGAATAATTCACTCCCATGTCCTCTAGCCATTTCTTTAAGGAAAACCCTAAGTAACAGAGAATCAGTTTTTTTTTCAATTATCATTTTCAAGGCAAAATTGTTTATTCAGTTTAACCAAAATCTATACATAAATTGTACCTGAAAAACTGGAGTCAGAATGTCAGACCTTTGGCAGAATATGTGTATTCAATATTATATATCAGCAACATGAATATATCCTCCCACATCATCCATTTTGAATTAGGAGAGAGGTCATTCAGCAGTAAAATTGTTCGACAATTGAGAGGTCTGCACTCAGCCAGTATTTTTCTCATTAAGACAGAAATCAAGAGCCATGGAGTTTTTTTTTTTTTGGGGGGGGGGGGGGGGGGGGGGGGGGGAGGAGGCTGAAAATTAGACTAACTGTAGCTCTCTGCCTCTATTGGGTCACCCATTCAAAATTTGTTTTCAGACCTATGAACTATATAGACCTGCAGCAATATAAGGCAAAGTTCAAAAGCTGCTTCTCTCAAGTTATTCTTGCAATATCTAAGAGTTTTCACACAGATCATCGTGAAATAATGCATGATTATAATTTTTGATTTTGTTTTGACTGGGGTTCTCTGCACAGAAAATGTCTACCTTGCAAACTCTTTGTCCAGTCACATTCTAATTTGCGTAAGATTGCATTTTTCAACACTGAGACTTCAACATCACAGCTTCCTCTGCTTTCAAAGCACACACTCACATTTAGATCCATCTGATATGCATGATCATAGGGAAGATCATACAGGACCAAGCTGCAATATATATGAACATAATACACTTCATCATTAGTGATGGTGAATATGAGAGAAGCTTACTGCTATGAAAGAGTACGAGAAGTTTTTATTCTTCCTAAATTCAGGTCATCATTCATAAATTTAATATGAATAAGATGCATTAATTCCTTGACAATTTTACTTACCTCATTTTGACCATTCCAACTAGACTGTAGTGTACAACCTTACCTAAAATATCATGCAATAAAAAGGATGCACATCTGAATTTTACCATTTAGTTGCATGCAATGAGAGAGAGAGAGAGAGAGAGAGAGAGAGAGAGAGAGCTCTTACCATATTCAATGTCTAGCAAATCAACCTCTATTTTTAGCCTTTCCAAGTAAACTATCATCCTCTTGAAGCATGGATCAAGCTTAAGATGAACACTAAATGACCTTCCAATTTTTTCCACAATGATGCAACAGTTGATGGAGCTACAGCTGAAATCCAAGTAACATTCAATTGGAGCAGAGGTCAGGTTGTTAACTTGGACATTAGGACAGACTGCAATAACAAAGCATTATATACATCATTTTAAACTGTTCCATTACAATACAGTAAAACTTGGTCAAAAATTACTCCCAACAGAGTTACATGTTTTGTTAAATTTGTACTATCTAAATTTAACACAAAAAAGAAACTAAGAAACATAATCCATAAAAGCTCAGATGAATATTTATAGCTAGGCTGTCACTTGTTATAAAAAAAAATGGAACTAGATATCATTGAGATGGTGGCCATCTCAAAGGGCCCCACTTTCAGCAATGAACATGGAAATGTAAGGTAGCTGAAAAGGGTTTATTTCAAAGAGGAACATTTGTGTACTATTAAGGGATGTGTTGTTTGAGTCTAAAGGGCTTCTATGTTATCCTCGATATAATAAAAAATGGCATGAAAATCACGAGTGCTCAACACCTTCCATCAAAAAATGGCACAAAAATCACGAATCCTGCATATCCTCTATGAAAATTGTTGCATATCCTCTATCAGAAATATGGAAGGAAAATCACAAATGATCAGTACCCTTAGTCAATTGGTAAGGTTTGAGGCTGACTGGACTTTAGGGAAAGAAATTATGCACCGAACAAAGATTTAAACAGAGAGGCTATTTTTGAAGTTGATCCTTGACCTAGAAACATCGTTCAAGGTCACTGCACATCCACTGACAAGTGGCACTCTGTGAGTGAAGTATGAGCCACATTGGACCAAGGGGAGAGAAGTTATACTCTGGACAAGGACTTTTCATATAATTCTGCTATGACCTTAACCTTAGACCTGAAACATGGTTCAAGGTCACTGCACACCCTTTACCAAAAGGCACTCTGTGGGTGAAGTATGAGCCAGATTGGGCCAAGGAATGAGAAAATATGCTCTGGACAAAAATTTAAACAAAGAGGCTTTTTTTGACCTTGACCCTTGACCTAAAAACTTTGTTCAAGGTCACTGTACATCCATTGACCAGGTGGCACTCTGTGAGTGAAGTATGAGCCACATTGGATCAAGAGGAGAGAAGATATGCTCCAGACAAGGATTTTTCATATAATTCTGCTATGACCTTGACCTTAGACCTAGAAACATGGTTCAAAGTCTCTGCACACCCTTTACCCAAAGACATTCTGTTGGTGAAGTATGAGCCAGATTGGGCCAAGGAGAGAGAAGATATGTTCCAAACAAGGATCTAAACAGAGAGGCTATTTTTGACCTTGATCCTTGACCTAAAAACGTCATTCAAGGTCACTGCACATTCATTGACCAGTGGCACTCTGTGAGTGAAGTATGAGCCACGTTGGACCAAGAGGAGAGAAGATATGCTCCGGACAAGGATTTTTCATATAATTCTGCTATGACCTTGACCTTAGACATAGAAACATGGTTCAAGGTCACTGCACACCCTTTACCCAAAGACACTCTGTGGGTGAAGTATGAGCCAGATTGGGCCAAGGAGAGAGAAGATATGCTCCGGACAAGAGATCTCGGATGGACAGACGGACGGATGGACGGACAGACTGATCACTATAGGGCACCCGCAGAGCGGGGCCCTAATAAGAACACAGCTATCTAATGTATACTTCTATTCAAACACTCCAACTTACAGTTATTCCAGCCATCCACTAAAGCAGAGTATATTTCTTGATCATGACAAGTTTCAGACAATAGGTACCGTGCAGTCCTCATTTCCCTCATTAGCTCTGCTGACTGGTGTTTATTCAGAGGAGAACTGTAACCATTGTTGATCATCCAAGCAGATCTTGAGAAGTCTGGAAGATTAATGCTTAGTCAGTTTTTCTTTTAACAGCAGGCCTTTATGGTCTTCTGATGTCAAATTTTAAAAGTGAAATAATTAATCAATCTACAGTATATATTTAAGAGTGTGTATCCATGAGGTTCTCCATCAGAATTTCTTTACATACTTATTAGGGATGTCAATTTTGTCCATAATTCATATTCGAATATTCAATGAAAGTTTTCGAATATATTCGAATATTCGATAAAATATATAAATTCTGGTTTATTTTAAATATGCATATCCTACTCTCATGAAAAGTTTATCGTAGGTTATCTTATATTGAAAGTAAAATTGTATGAAGACTTTTGTAGTTGTACAAAAAGGAATTCCATTTGATATTTGTCAATGTTTGAAAAAAATAATTGATTTAAATGTAGAAAAGTATAATTTGAGCAAATGATACGTGTATTTATAGTAGTTCCAACTGAGGAACCAGTCGTCAAGTACCAAAGGCAAGATAGTCGTATACTGTTCAGATTTCAATATGTATAATTAATTACAATTATCAGCCTAATAAGCAATATGATTATAATCTTTGATACAATATTTGTAAAATGTAAACAAATATTTCCATAGACAATTGTCCTAGGTAATTAACTAATTTCCCGATAATGAATATAAAATTCAGGATTATGTGCAACCCAAGATAATCAAGTAATTTACACATTTATTCTGAAATTGAGCCCTTTACAATATTAATTACAGACTAATTCTATCGGACATTCACATGTTTTTCAGTGGCTCTTGAGAAAAAGATTTTTTAAAGATACCACCAAATTTTCACCTCTTCTTAATTATCTCCCCTTGGAAGAACTGGTAGCCTTTCACTTGAATCCCTTTCACCCAAGGATGTTTTGTGGCAAGTTTGGTTAAAATTGGCCTAGTGGTTCTGGAGAAGAAGTCTCAAATGTGAAAAGTTTACACAGACAGATGGACGGACTGGACTACAGACAAAATGTGATCAGATAAGCTCACTTGAGCTTTCAGCTCAGGTGAGCTAAAAAAAAAATCTTTCATTTCTGCAATTATTCATTTGTTATGTACTTGAGTTAACAAATCCCTCATTCCAATCACAAGGTTGTTTTGGTAGCAGTACATTGTCAAATATTGTATGGTTAGCTTCACAGGAGGAGCTCTCTGTACAGACACTGAGCTTCACTGCTGCAAGATATACTTTCTCATTAGGGACATCTCTTATGTTGTATCTGTAATACAAAATAACACTTTCCAACTCATCTGTTATGAAGTTGTAGCAATTTAAAAAAAGGTAGTATGGTAAAAAAGTAGTAAAATATATAACTGATACACCATCACATACAACAAAATTTTAGAATCAAAACTGGAATTATCATAAATGGACCCCCTCTCTTTCCACAGATCAACACAAGAAATGGAGCAATTTACGAATCTTGCTAAATATAAAATGCAAATTTTCATGGCATTAATCTTGTGAAAATGTAGTTCTTTGAATAAGATCTTTGGTCATGAGCAAACTTTGTGTTAAATACTGTAAATGACTTTTTATTTGCAAAAACTTTATTTTCAGATTATTACGCGAGATGGTCTGTTCGCAAAAATTTCATTTCTGTGTATGAAAAAAAAAACGAGATAACGAGGGATCAATAAACTGGGGGTTAATTAAAGAAAACATTGTTGGGACTTTCAAATCACTTTGACATATATCCATTGTATTTGAGATATCGGAGTTCGAGAAAACAAAGTTCAACTGTAATTGTCCTCGTCCAAATCATAGTCAAAACACACCTCAAATTGCAAACCACCTTTGTATCAATCTTTCAGACAAAAATTTCTCATGTTATTCCTCTCAAAGAATTTATGTACAATGAAATATTAACATTGTCATATCATTTTTTTTTAATATATTAAAATTGTTGTATCTTTTTTTTAATATCAAGACATTTATCTAAAAATTTTACTGAGAGTTTTCAAATGGTATTGTATTAATTCTAAAAAAAAAAAAAAATCTAACATTGTCAAAACCAATAAATAGTTTTCAAGATACACTCCAGAATAAAAGACATCTATGGATGTACAGTCAGACAGATATGGTGATTCCCGTATAACCCAACAAACTTTGCCTGCTGGGGGTACATTAATAGAATTATATTATTTATATTTACATTATTTTCAGAATACCAGCCAGAGAAAACACACCATCTTTTCCTAATAAAAGAAACAAAGGTAAAACAATAGTTAACAGAACATTTATGCGAGACTGAAATATATCACAAATATGAAATGTATTGAAAATAAATTTCAGTCGTATTTGCACCACATATTTTGTTCTTTAAACCTACCAAACTTGTACTGGTCCAATGATTTACTGACAGTGAATTTCTCAATGCCAACAGTGAACATATAATTACAGGGGTCCACAGAGAGATAAGCATTGAAGGACATGTTAAGGTCAGGAACATCTACACAGCAGTGAAACCCTGTACACAGTGAAGGAAGGTAGCAGGACACTAGAGTGGAAGATCTGGCATCCAACGATCGATTTACCAAATCCACATCCAATTGACACACTAACAGAATACAAAATATATGAAATTAATAGAGACCCTCTGATTACTGTGCTTTTCTTAGATGTAGTTAGAAGAATTCATAAACAACTACAACAATGTTAGATTTCAAAAACAGTCACTTAAACAGCTGTCATATGATCCGTTCTCAATTAGAAGACTATTGCTTAGTTTCTCTGGAAACATTCTTACTCTGCGGTGATCCTGTTGATATTGGTTTAGAAAATCTCCCAGCTCCCCTCTTACATGGAGAAGGTTCCATGTATTGTGCTATATCAAGATGTTCTAGCAAAAGGTATTTTGCCCATTCAGGAATCTGTGTGCTGTTGGAAACCTTTTCCTCTTGCTTCCATTCAGAGAGGGAGAAACCTAAAAAAAATCAAATGAAACATAAAAATTCAAACTCTGTTTTAATTACAAATATGCATATAAAATTCTTGATAAACATGAAACTATACCTTATTCTTTAGAAATCATGAAACTTAATAAAGTTTGTCAATGAACTGAATTCCCACATCTTGGGGGAAAAATAGTTATAGTTCTTTTATATGATCATTGATCAAGTTACCTTTCTTATGTATAAAGTAAGATTTTTTGGATTGGAATTTTGGAATAGTGTAACGTTGATGAATTTAAAAGTAATAATTTACAAATTGATCATATATACGCCTAACAAAGCTTCAGTTCTAAAAGACAATAACCAAAATGACTGAATGAGCAGATAACTGAAATTACTGAAAAAAAACAAACAGGAAACAAACCCATGTTAACATCCTGTGGACATTTCCTTTTTGGAAGCACGGTGTCTTCATAGATCACAAAACTTGTTTGGCATGGTTGATTTGCTTCAAAGCAAATGCTCAAATTCATGTTGACAACATAAAGGTTTCCACCCTTAAAATCATCCAATGAAAATCTAAAATGCAGAAAAAATGTTCATAACTTAGTACAAATAGATACATCCAAATAACTAAAAAGTTAAAAATAAAGATGACAAATGTCCAAGAAAAAGGGTCATAGCTTACTCTAATCGTGTTATTCCTCCAAGCCAAAGTTTATCTAATTGTCCTGAAAAAAATTTAACAATAATGTGAACTTCATCTTCCATAGAATATATCAGAAGCTATTTAAGTGATTTTGTTATGAATGGATTACCAAATCTGTACTGTGTTAGTGAAATGTTCCTGCTAAATTTTTCTATGCCAACTTGGAGTTCTGAACTACATGGGTCTATGTTAAGGTAGGTCTTGATATTACGAGTGAGGTACTCAACCTCCACACAGCATTCTGTTGATGTACAGTCATCTTTAAGGTGGCATACTGCTCCAGATATGTTGGGTTTAATTATATTCTTCATACAAGCTAAAATGAAAACAAAAGAATCATGTTTAACATACGTAGACACTGTAACAGTATCATTGAGATGGTGACCATTAAGAAAGCAATTTGTAAATAAAATTATTGTTTTCTTCAAATTGCCATCCACTGCCTCCCATGTGTTTACAAAAATATAGCTATCGGAACTGGACATGCAAGACTGTGAACTTATAATTGGGAACTATCATATTCATTAACGGCAAATAAAGTTGCACACTGTATTAGATATCACTAAATACTTTTAAATCAGATTCCAATTCCATAAGTTTAAGAGACTAATACTGTTTTCCTGCTAACATTTGCAGTCATGAGCACCCTTGTCTGCAGAGTTTTGATAAAAACTAACAAATACTGTATTCAAGATGTTGTCAAGATTGGACAAAATGACCACTATGGACAAGGAAAAATAATGATTTCCCATGAAATCTGATGACTGCTGACTGCGTTACGTATATGACCACATAATAGAGTTAAATTATATTGGTTAATTCATTGGGAGGAAATGAAATGACCACATAGGGCAAGTGACTGCTGAATAAAGGTGACCACTATGAAAAGTTTAACTGTACTACAGAGAAAGCCAGTCTATAAGAATATGCTAATAGCTTACTAGCCATTAAAAGGGCACAGAATGTAGATGTTACCTATTACTTTGATATGAGTGGAGTCAGAGGTTGTGATATGAAGAATTACTCATTACTTCTTTAAACTGAATACATTTCATAAAAAAAAGAAATTTATCTCAAGTTTTTCTCCCATATATATCTTAATTCGCCTTTATTTCAGGAGCCCCTACATAAGCCATTCAATTGGTCATGGTTCATAGTAAAGAGCTTTTTAGATTAAATCAGTGTGGATGTGCCACTGTGAACAAGAGGCCCATGGCCACAATGCTCACCTGAATAACTTTTGCCCTGCCGTTCTTCATCAGAAAAATTGTGACCCCATATCATAGCCCCACTAACTCTAATGATCTTTGAATTGATACAACATGGAGATGCTTCACTTTCACTATGACTATCATGGCCTTGCAATAATGGAGAAGAAAATTCTTTTTCTGCATTATGTAAAATTTGATCCCTGTTTTAGTTAAATCTAACCCACAGTGCATAATTTGAAAGAAAAAAAAATCCACCCAACTTGGGAATTTTTGCATATGAATGGTGCGATTGTGGTTCTTGAGAAGATTTTCAAAACTTATTTCATATAATGTCCCATGTAAAATTTTGATCCCCTATTGTGGACCACCCTAATCCCATGGGCCATGATTTGAATAATTTAGAATCTACACTTTCTAAGGAATCTTTAACAAAAGTTTTATCTCTCATGGCCCATTGGTTCTTGGGAAGATTTTTCAAGACTAATCATAGAAATGCTGTTCTTGAGAAGATTTTTTAAAAATACTTTTCTCTTTATATTCCTATATAAAACTTTGATCGCCCATTGTGGCCCCACCTTATCCCCGGGGGTCATGATTTGAACAAATTTGAGTCTACACTTTCCTGGAATGATTCCTCATAAAAATCATTAATCATGGATTTGAACATGTTCATGATTTGAACAAACTTGAATCTTTATTATCTGTTATGCTTCCATATAAAAATATATACATTTGTGCAGAGTTGTGGAAAACTGTCGGTCATGCCGGCAAAACCGGCAAAAAATGCGTATGACCGGTAAAAATGCTATCGATGTCGGTCCAAATGACCGGCACCTTTTTTGGTTATTTTTTTTTCCATTTATCATCGGCGCACTTCCTAGCATAATTACTTATATGCGATTGCGTAATACCGGTACTTTTCTTTTTACGAGATCGAGGCTATAGATGAAAGCGAAACCAGCATGGTCTCGTGACCTATTAAATTTACAACTGGGACAGAATTAGGTAGAAAACATAATAAAGACAATCTAAATATGAAAAATTTCGACAGAAAGAATTCAAACACAGTTGGGGAAAGCTGTAAATCTAATACTCCCGACTGTCCCGGATTTTGTTTTTCATTGATCGTGTTGATATCTTTATTATCGATGCACAGAATTTCTTCAATTTTTCTAGGTTAATATAATTCCCAAGTGCATAATTGTTTAAAAAAATTACGTTTACTATGCTGAATTAGCATTGTCACCAGCCCCAAAGCGGCGAAATCTAGTATTGTTATAAACATGATAAAAAAAAAAAAAAACAAAAAAAAAAAAACAAAAACGGAAGAGGACTTGGGGATGGAGACTGAATGTTATATATTATTATTAAGTAAATAGATGTGTAATGAAGAAAATAAATGTTATGCTTTTTTCTAATTTTGCGACCTACTATTTCGGACCGGCAACAATCACTTCGGACCGGCTTATTTTGTCTTCTTGCCAGTCCAAATGACTGGCTATCTGAAAAAGTTTTCCACAACTCTGTTGTGGTATCTCTCTATTATATAAACATACAGAGAGCAAATATCTTCATACCTGTATGAAGTTTTTAGAAGGTCATAGGTCATTACGTGACCTAATCACACAGCGCAGTAGATTTACTCTACTTAGCAATACAGCATGCTTTTCATGTATAAAAATGTACAAAATACGCAAGTAAAATAATAATCATTTTATTTACAATGTAAATGAGTATTTAATACAGTTCTTGATCGATTTTACATAGAGAATAGAAAACTACGTGTTATAACTTTGATGTCTGAGCTCCATAGTCTCAACGTTTAGCGTTATTTTTCTTATAGACCTCTGAATGCTATAATTTTTTTCATCAAACTGTACTCACAATAAATTTGAAAATCTGTCAGAAAATATCTATGTAATGCAATCACGCCACAAACAGCTGACAAACACTTCAGAACTTCGGTAGGCACACCTCCATCATCGAGATCATTGTCTTACATGTAAAAATTTAAGCTGTCGCCAGTGTCTCCGTGTCAACATCATAATAAATATGCCTTACTGAAATTGTAGATTTTATGTTCCTAATCAAATTTTAAACTTGATTTCAAGTTAACCTGGTCTGGACAAGTGTCTCCATCCATCCCTTTGCGACCGAAATTCCTCCAATTTTTTATTATCAAACATCGGACGTGTTTCTTGTGTTTTTTAACATCAAATATGGGTTCTCATGAATACAAAAATTCCCAGACACCAATATGCTCACTAAAATTGATCACAAGTAGCCTTTCACAGAATATTCCTTTCAAAACAGAATTCTTTGACAAGTGAATTTGAAGCGTAAACGCTTTTCAAGCCGATTTACACCTTGCGTAATTTGTCAAAATCTACGACGAACAGTTAGTGCAATATTTATGTTCGATTATATTTGATTGTCCGTCTCAAATGTATATATAAGTAATAAATAACAAGTTTAAAAACTTCACTGGGAAATGAAGTGGGTCGGTACATGATCAAATCTTCTGAGAAGGCCTTTGGCCTTCACAGGATTTGATCATGTGACCCACCCACTTCATTTCCCAGAGAAGTTTTTAAACTTGTTATTTATTTCTTAAATGATTAATCATGGCTTTGATGATCTTGAGATGAAGATTTTTAAAGATTTTTCTTATATATTCCTATGTAAAACTTTGATCCCCCATTGTGGTCCAATTTTCCTTAGCCCGGAGTCATGATTTTGAAAAAATTTGAATCTTTACTATATATGTAATGAATATATGAGTAATTGAGACTTTACCTGTCTTGAGAAGAAGAATTTTTAAATGATTTTCCCTAGGTATGCCTATGTAAAAATTTGATCACCAATTGCCCTAACCTAGCTCTGGGGATCATGATTTAAACAAACTTGAATCTAAACTATCTGAGGATGTTTCCATCTCAGTTTCGTTTTTTTTGGCTCAGTGGTTCTTGAGAAGAAGATCTTTAAAAGATATTATTAATTTTCACTAATTCATAATTATCTCCCCTTGGAAGAAGGCATAGCTCTTCATTTGAAAAAAAAAATCAATTTGTTTTAACCAAGGGTATTTTGTGGCAAGTTTGATTCTTGATTTTGAGTCATTCTTAAGAAAAAGCCGAAAATGTTTAAATGTTTACAGACAGACAGACAGCTAGACGGACAAACAGACAAAATGTGATCAGAAAAGCTCTCTTGAGCTTTCAGCACAGGTAAGCTTAAACAACTTAAGCAATATATACATGAATATTTATTTGTTTACATGACTGTGTACTTTAATTTTTCCAACCTTGATAAGATTAATATTATAAATGTATTACCACAGATTAGTAAAGTACAAGGATTAACAAAAAAAAAAAATCCTGTAGTGCAAATCCTGCTTAAGCAAGATCAGAATTTTAAAAGTGCATTTAGAGTTTGTAAATATGTGGAAAAAAGAACAGCTGTATCCAGTTTTGAATTCATCTTGATGCTCAATGACATTTACTTTCTTTTCAAATACCACATTATTTAGCTTACATGTGGTCCATCCACCAACAGCATATTTGGATGCAGGCCTGCAATGAGGAGTTTCTAAATATTGTGAGATGGCCAGTTCATCCATAAGCCTGGATACCATGTAGTCTTTTTGCATCAGTTCTGAAACATTGACTAAGCTGTTCTCCATTAGCCATCCTTTCAAAGAGAAATCTGTAAAGAAATGTAAATGGTGAAGAAATTTCATGAACCTACTAAATAAGCTTTATGAACATATCCATTAGTTTTCAAAAGCAGCTTTCTGTAAACAGTTTAACACTCAGACTCTAAAGATACATGAACATCAGTGTAAAACTTGAATACTTACATCCATTGAATATTTTCTCCTTTATTTCTTAAATATGAAACCATATCAACCTATAACTCATTTAGTACTCTCATTCCATATTTTAATTTCCATGATTTATTACTGAATTTTTTTACCTGGTTTAACAAACCCTTCATTTCCTGAACAAATGCCTTTAGGAAACATTATCCTGTCCAGAATTTTAATGGTTTTTGCAGAATCCTTTAGAGGTATCTTAGCTTCATAGTGTTCCATCACATACAAGGACACGAGGTATGCTCTTTTTTCTTTCAAATCCTCAACTGTACATCTACAAAATTAACAATGTCCTGTGAAAATATTAAAATGTTAGAATGTAAATTGCATCTTGTAACTTCTTCTTATTCTTAGAATTCATATTACCTAAAGAATCTAACACAAGAGGCCCATGGGTCTTCAAAGACAACTTAGTAATATACAAGTTAATTTAAACTAAAGATCCATTTAAAATTTCCTTCTGTTGCTGCTTGTACCAAATGATGACCTTAAAATTTCATCTATAATCCCTTTCAAGTGACCTAGGAACATTCTTCACTTTATAAAAAGTCCCCCATGTTTGTCCTTTCTGACATACACTGCTCGGTAGTCAATGATAACATTTGATCACTTCAGTGACTCTGGCACCAAAAGTAACAAAATTTGACATCTAAATAAGTCACATGAGAAACTACTGGACCTAAAATTGAAATATGGGAGATTGCTAACTGTGGAAAATGTCCAATCATAAATTTAATAGACTTACCTTAAATTGTAGACTCCAAAGATACTAAATAGTTCAGGTTCTCCTAAAAAAAAACTTTATACATCAAAATTTTTACCCAATAAAGTTTTGATATCATCTAATAATTTTTTGAGATATTGTTTAGAATGAAAAAATCATAATAGATATATATATCCTAGTTTTAGAAATTTGTTTGTGAAGGTAAATATTTACAAAAGACTAGGTTTATTTTATGCACAAAATATGGCCCTGCATGTCTTTCAATGTACAAATGAACTGCCATCTTACAATGTATGTCCAATTTCAAACACAAATAACTCTTTATTATAGAGACCTAAGCTTTCGTTAAATATAAAAGAGTTTCTTCTAAGAGGGAAAAAAAGCTTTGTGAAAATTGCAAAGTGCTTGAATTTTACAGAAAATTGGTGTATCACATTACATTCAATAATTGAATTAAAATATAAGCATACCCACTGATCCAAAAAAAAAAAAAAGAAAAAAAAGAAAAATGTGTTATAAACTTTGGAATAATTAAAAGTTCTATTAATATATACTTGTACATAAGGCATTGTTCATTGTGCTATATAAAATGTTGAAAAAATTATCATTTTGGAATAAATTATCTGTACATGGGGAGGGGGGGGGGGTTTCGGAAGCTCACTTGAGACCCTGGTACAGGTGAGCTAAATATTGTTTGGAGCACTCAAACATGACTGCTCCAAACAGTGCATAATTTGATTAGCACTGAATTTTGAACATTATGAAAAAAGCATACAGTCATAAAGTATCATATCAATATAATACAGTCACTGTGGTTCTTAACATTATTTGTATGCTTATATAGTCAGTTTTTTATTTTACTTACCCCATTGTAAATCATGCAAAGTTTTGTTGTGAAAAATCTTTTCTATTTGGATATTGAGACTCTCAGTACAGTTATCTATGTTGAAATAAATTTCAAAATTTCTTCTCAGTTGAGAGGAATACAGACAACATTGGATCCCAGAGCAAGTGGCAAGCATGTGACAGCTATAATCAGTACTCAAATATGGTAGACTAATATTCATTCCACAATCTGAAAAAAATTTGTGTGGCCGTTTTTATATCAAATATTAATGATATTGAAATATTGCTAAATCATTACTATATAGTAACCATGTGTGTGACATGGATTTCAGTGATGAGGCACAATGGAAATACTGTATGCAGATTTATGGGTACCAGTACCAGTACTAATATCTTTTTTTGGAATAAAACATATGCTAACAATTAAGACAACTATGAGTCACGATGGTAATTCAAGTTACGAACAAGAAAATTACTGCCCTGTAGTATTCTTAAAACTGTAAAAAATAATCTTGACATTTGAGCAAGTAACGCAAGCCTCTTTAGGGGCCCTTTTCAATTCCTTATTTTCCACATTCTTTCAGTGTAAAAAAAAGAATAACAATCCTCCTTGTGTCCTACCAATTGGGGCACTGCTGTTCTTACAAGATATTTTTCTATGTATATATATCCAAATGAATGTATTACTAAAATAATTTTCTCAAAATTTGTTCCCACCCTACATGTATGCCCCCCTTGGGCTCAACTCCCGATATAAGGATAAAATAGTACTGTAAAAATATTCTTAGCATATATTCCTACATTTCTAGTACATGTATTTATAAAGATCCATGGCTGATAGCAGACACTTTCAACATCAATGTCAAATGTTGACTGGGATTAGGTCGACAGTCAACAATCCTGCAAGCTAATACGGTCAACTATCAAACCTTAAATACTAGTATGGAGACAAGTGGAAAACAAAATAATACTTTAATATGTAAAAGTTTCTACATAGGGGATACATACCCTTATACATGTATTGAAATTGAATTTTTTTAAGTGTTAAGTAATTAAGTCACACAAAAAAGTGTTATTGATACAAAATGCAGAGATCTCGAGAGACAAAGTGATATGATTAAACAAGAGGCCCAGGGGCCACATCGCTCACCTGAGCACTATGGCTAGGAAAAAGCAGAAATCAGTTCAGTCTTGAAAGGTTGAAAAGTTTGAATAAAAAAGTGGTTCGGGGGGAGGGGGGGTGTCATAAATTGAACAAATTTTAATCTACAATATCTGAGGATGCTTCCATTTGAATATGACCAATCATGATTTTGCTGTTCTTGAGAAGAAGATTTTTTTAAGATTTTCCTATATATTCCTATGTAAAACTTTGATCGCCCATTGTGGCCCCACCCGACCCCCGGGGGTCATGATTTGAACAAACTTGAATCTATACTACCTGAGGATGCTTCCATGTAAATATGACCAATCATGGCCTTGCTGTTCTTGAGAAGAAGATTTTTAAAGATTTTTCCTATATATTCCTATGTAAAACTTTGATCGCCCATTGTGGCCCCACCCGACCCCCGGGGGTCATGATTTGAAAAACTTGAATCTACACTACCTGAGGATGCTTCCATGTAAATATGACCAATCATGGCCTTGCTGTTCTTGAGAAGAAGATTTTTAAAGATTTTTCCTATATATTCCTATGTAAAACTTTGATCGCCCATTGTGGCCCCACCCGACCCCCGGGGGTCATGATTTGAACAAACTTGAATCTATACTACCTGAGGATGCTTCCATGTAAATATGACCAATCATGGCCTTGCTGTTCTTGAGAAGAAGATTTTTAAAGATTTTTCCTATATATTCCTATGTAAAACTTTGATCGCCCATTGTGGCCCCACCCGACCCCCAGGGGTCATGATTTGAAAAAAACTTGAATCTACACTATCTGAGGATGCTACCATATAAATATGACCAATCATGGCTTTGCTGTTTTTGAGAAGAAGATTTTTAAAGATTTTTCCTATATATTCCTATGTAAAACTTTGATCGCCCATTGTGGCCCCACCCGACCCCCGGGGGTCATGATTTGAACAAACTTGAATCTATACTACCTGAGGATGCTTCCATGTAAATATGACCAATCATGGCCTTGCTGTTCTTGAGAAGAAGATTTTTACAGATTTTTCCTATATATTCCTATGTAAAACTTTGATCGCCCATTGTGGCCCCACCCGACCCCTGGGGGTCATGATTTGAACAAACTTGAATCTACACTATCTGAGGATGCTACCATATAAATATGACCAATCATGGCTTTGCTGTTCTTGAGAAGAAGATTTTTAAAAATTATTCCTATATATTCCTATGTAAAACTTTGATCGCCCATTGTGGCCCCACCCGACCCCCGGGGGTCATGATTTGAACAAACTTGAATCTACACTACCTGAGGATGCTACCATATAAATATGACCAATCATGGCTTTGCTGTTCTTGAGAAGAAGATTTTTACAGATTTTTCCTATATATTCCTATGTAAAACTTTGATCGCCCATTGTGGCCCCACCCGACCCCCAGGGGTCATGATTTGAACAAACTTGAATCTACACTACCTGAGGATGCTTCCACATAAGTTTCATATTTTCAAGCACAGTGGTTCTTGAGAAGAAGATTTTTTAATGATGCCATTAATTTTTCACGAATTCTTAATTATCTCCCCTTGGAAGAAGGTGTGGCCCTTCATTTGAACAAACTTGAATCCCCTTTACCCAAGGATACTTTGTGGCAAGTTTGGTTGAAATTGGCCCAGTAGTTCTGGAGAAGAAGATGAAAATGTGAAAAGTTTACAACAACGACGACGCCAACGCCAACGACGACAGACAACGGACAAATTTTGATCAGAAAAGCTCACTTGAGCCTTTGGCTCAGGTGAGCTAAAAATCATTAGGTGTCTTTTTCTTACAGCAAAGAACCTTCTGTCCAAAATTTGCAAATGTTACGTTCAAAACTGTTGGAATTACTGCATCACAATCAAAAAAGTGTCATGGATATACATTCAAAAATACACAGACAGTGATACAACCTCTCAATCTATAGGTGTCTTCCTCTTATAGTTAAGTACATGTACTTAACTGTACTAAATTTGAAAGCATGAAGTTGAAAATTGTTTGAGTTACATGTATTGCGTCACAACAAAAGCATAATGGACATAAATCTAGCAATACAAACAGGCAAAACGCTATGACCCAAAAATTTGTAGATGTCTTTTCTTGTAGTAAAGACTTGTGTACAAAATTTGAATGTGCAAAGTTGAAAACTGCTTGAATTATCACGTCACAACAAAAGTTTTGATAAACAGACAGCTAGATGGACAATGTGATCCTATAGGACTCCTGTATTTTCATGCTTATAATAACTGGTTTATTTACAATTCACCCCTTTTCCAATATACATGACATGATACTCACCACTTGTCCATCCATTAACAGTGTTCAGATAAATACCACCAGACCTATTACACATTGGCTGTTTGATAAACCCTGCAAGCCCTGTTTCATCCATAAGTTGTAGTAAATATTCATCAGGGATTATATTGCCAAGTTTTCTATCAGATCTCCACTTATACAAAGAAAAATCTGAAATCAGAATTTAATGGTTAAAAAATTATTATTATTATCCATTTTCTATTTTTATAGCAAGCATATATACATTTATAAGATGTTAAGTTTCTTTAACATATATTTGTAATAATTATTGTATACAGGGTTATATTAGCCCTTTCACACTTGCAAACAATTTGCCCCATTATATATTCTCCAGTCAAAATTCTGTTTAAATCTTTCAAATCTTACATAATTTTGCTTCCTACACATATGTATACTGCATGGGATTGTGTTGATATTTTTAGCAGTTAATTAGAAAATGTGTCTTCCATGTTACATTCTTTGTCTTACATGATGTACTTACCTTTCATGTTGAAATCCATTGACCAATTACATATTCTCTTAGGAATCAATGCATTCTTGAAGACGACAAAATCTAAGTGGCAATCTCCAGTGGACTCATAACACTGACTTATGTTCATGCTCATCAAATATTTACGTTCATTGTAAAAATTCTCCATCACTATACTGTATCCAAAAAAAATGGGGAATTCAGTTAAAAAAAAAGAAAGAGTACAACACATCAGAAATTGAATACATAAACAAGTACAGAAAGAGATAAAAACTTTTATACTTTAACTTCATTTTTTCCCCAAAAATCTGTGATGGAAATGTTTAAAGAACTCTTAAATTTTGGGGGGATCTGTGTCTAGTTACCTTATCTTGTATATTCCATACAAGTCTACTGTCATGAGTTCTCCTGAAAATTTCAATTTTTAAAGATTCATCAACTGATTTTACAGATATTAAAGTATCAAATTCTAATACTGCATACATTTACTCAGCATTATACACACCCCACTTAAAGTTCATCAGGTTGACATTGAACTGCAGTTTTTCTATCTCTAGTTTCATGGAGAATTTACACGAGTCAATCCCGACCCTGGTCTCTATATTCCTTTTGAGTACAGTGTCCTCCACACAGCAGGACGTAGTAGTACAGGTGTCAGACAGGTAACAGTTGATGTGGTCTGGTTCTGTGAACTGACTCATACCTGACACTTTACCACATTCTGAAGAATGGAATCATTTTACACCAATATCCCAAGCAAATTCATGTACTACTAAATAAAATTGTTTTATAATTTTCTACTTTGTTATTTATGTAGCTGAATCAATTCTTTTGAACATTTACTTCATTATGCAGTTGCACTTACTTGCATATTTAATAAGCAACACAGTATATGCAACCTCAAAATAAAATTTACTTTTTTGTATATATCATTCATAATGAAGTTTAATTTCAAGTCTTAATGAACTTTATACGAGGGGTGATCAAAAAGTTTGAGAACTTATCTCTATATTTACAAAACTACAATGCAGATCAGAATGAAATTTGGCACACATACAGTCATACACTTGTTCTATAAATAGCAGATGTTATGCAATGTTTTGCTCCATGTTTGTGACATCACAATGTTAAAATGATATCAATATGTAGATGACTTGTGACAAAAAATGGTTGACTTAGTCATACTCCAGCAACGAAAGGCTGTAAAGTTTAACATATATCTTGGAAATTTCTTTGCAGTAGAATATAATAATTTGTACAAAAGACTTACCTGAAGTTCAATCATTAATTGGATTGATTGTTTTAGTGAAGGCAGGGAGATGGTTAAAAATGTTTGTTCTGTTGCCCAGCAAAGCAAGCCGGGAAAAAGATGTGTCCTTAGTTGAGCAATTTGTTATGAAGATCGTCAAGTAACAATTAGAAAAATAGTTGAATATCCTAACAATAACATAATTATCAAATCCCTAAAATATAGCTTACTTTAGACTTTAAACATATGAGATATGAAAAAAAGGCACCCATACTTTATACACATTGGATAAACGACGCATCTGAGACAGAGGACTCGGGTTTTGATAGTCACCATGCTAATTCTGGGAACGGATATCCTTATCCACCCATCCTATTGCAGAGATTTGGCCTTTTCTGACAGATAAGCTGTTCTAGTTATAAAAAATAACTTGCATGATTAGAAATATAAGACTCGGAAAAATCTTTTAGCTTCTGTGAACAGACCCCTACGGAGCATGTCACGTGACCGCCTGGATCAGGATTCGTGCATGGGCAGAATGGCAGATGTGCATTAAAATTGGAGAGGACTACTTTAAAAAATAATGAACACTGATACCTCATTTTACTTCTTTTAAGGAAGTAATTCAATTAGTTTGCGAACTTTTTGATCACCTCTCGTATTGCAAATTACATTATTAAATATAGAACATATGAATTTCAAGACTGCATGAACTTAAAAAGACTCCCAATACATGTTTTGTCATTTAATTTCTAAAAGAAAAAAAAAACATTAAGATAACTCACTATCTTTCCAGTAATTCTTATGAGGAAAATATTTTGTGGATTTCTTAGAACAAGAATCTCCCAAGTATTCTGCTATTCCCAAGTCTTCTTTTAGTAATGCAATGTCCAGTTCTGTTAGATTCTGATTTAATCTACCATGCTGAAACTTCCACTGCGTTAAAGAAAAGTCTGCAAAACAAATTGATAATATATACTTTTCAGCATATTTAATATGATATGACAAATTGGAAAATATATATTGAACTGAAAGAGGATATAATGCCATTATAATTTTAAATATTTCACAATTTAAAAAACAAGAGGCCCATGGGCCTTGAATCGCTCTTCTGATAAACTGTACAACCTATCACTTCTATTTGAAGCCTCGAAGTATCCTGTATATTTAGATAAACCCTTGAAATTCCAATTCACACTCTGAGAACCCAAGATGATTCTAAGCCAATTAGTACCTGAGAGTTGGTCATGGTGACCTACTTATCACTTGTCATTCTCTGAAGACCCATCAACTAAGTTTGATGATTCTAAGCCAATTAATACCTAAAATATTTTTTAAAATTATAACCATAAAATTTTATAAGTAGGTCAAAGTGACCTACTTTTCAATTGTTTTACTCCAAGGACCCAAGATGCAAAAGTTTGATGATTCTAAGCCAATTAGTACCTGTAATATTTAATTAAAGCCATAAATTTTCAAAAGTAGGTCACGGTGACCTACTTTTCAGTCAACCTACTCCGAGGACCAAAGATGCATCGACTGACAAATTTTGACGATTCTAAGCCAAATAATTCCTGAAAATATTAAATACAGCCATAAAATTTCAAAAGTAGGTCACCGTGACCTACTTTTCAGTTGTTGTACTCCGAGGACCCAAGACGCATCAACTGACAAAGTTTAATGATTCTAAGCCAATTAGTACCCGAAATATTTGACTAAAGCCATAAATTTTCATAAGTAGGTCACTGTGACCTACTTTTCAGTTGTTGTACTACGAGGACCCATGACGCTTAAACTGACAAAGTTTTATGATTCTAAGCCAATTTAGTACCCAAAATATTTTATTAAAGCCATAAATTTTCCGAAAGTATGTCACTGTGACCTACTTTTTAGTCGACCTACTCCAAAGACCCATGAGGCATCAACTGACAAAGTTTGATGATTCTAAGCAAATTAGTACCCAAAATATTTAATTAAAGCCATAAATTTTCAAAAGTAGGTCACCGTGACCTACTTTTTAGTCGACCTACTCTGAAGACCCAAGAGGCATCAACTGACAAAGTTTGATGATTCTAAGCCAATTAGTACCCAAAATATTTAATTAAAGCCATAAATTTTCAAAAGTAGGTCACTGTGACCTACTTTTTAGTCGACCTACTCTGAAGACCCATGATGCATCAACTGACAAAGTTTGATGATTCTAAGCCAATTAGTACCCGGAATATTTAATTAAAGCCATAAATTTTCAAAAGTAGGTCACGGTGACCTACTTTTTAGTCGACCTACTCTGAAGACCCAAGAGGCATCAACTGACAAAGTTTGATGATTCTAAGCCAATTAGTACCCAAAATATTTAATTAACGCCATAAATTTTCAAAAGTAGGTCACTGTGACCTACTTTTTAGTCGACCTACTCCGAAGACCCAAGATGCATCAACTGACAAAGTTTTATGATTCTAAGCCAATTAGTACCTGAAATATTTAATTATAGTCATATAAATTGAAAAGTAGGTCACGGTGACCTACTTTTAAGTTGACCTTTTTGAGGACCCAAGATGCATCAACTTACAAAGTTTTAGATCATAGGACTTAAAATGTCCAAATTATGCCTCTAAAACGCTTTGAAATCGAATGCCTGCAAAGTTCAAAAAGTAGGTCACTGTGACCTACTTTTTAATAAATATGTTTTATGGCCCCAAGATGCATCATCTTACAAGATTTAATGATTCTAAGCCTCCCCGTATTCGAATTAATGACCTTAATTGTTTTAAAAAAAGATTAGCCATAAAATTCAAAAAGTAGGTCAAGGTGACCTACTTTTTAGTTGACGTACTTTGAGGACCCAAGATGCATCAACCGACAAAGTTTGATGATCATAGGCCTTAAATTGTTCAAAATATGCCTCTAAATCATTTTGAAAAAGAATGGCCGCAAAATTTAAAAAGTAGGTCACCATGACCTACTTTTGAGTCAACATGATATGAGGTACTGACAAGATTTGATGGTCCTAGTCCTTATAGTAAGCAAAATATCAACATTTTAATAAAATGTAATTTTTGGTCAACTTTGAAGTGACCTTGAGACCACACCCTTTGCCCCAGGGTAAATCCCCGTGCAAATTTTAATCTACAACATATCCTCATCCTTTTGTGTAAGTTTGGTGATAATCTGCCCAGTGGTTCTTGAGAAGAAGATTTTTTAGCAACCAGTACTTTTGTTTCTATTTTCCTAATTATCTCCCCTTGTTAAAGGGTCACAACCTCAGTTTTAGTATAAAAGGGAGCCCTTGGGCCAAGGATACCCTGTGACAAATTTGACAATAATTGGCCAAGGGGTTCTTGAGTTATGGCCCATATTCTAAAAAGTTTACGCACACCGCACAAATGGCCATAGCATTAGCTCTTTGAGCCTTTGGCTCAGAAGAGCTAAAAAACAAAAACAAAGTGCACCACATAGGACAGGAATGATAGCCTGTGAAAGGCAATAAGGTCATCCAAGAAATTACTTTTGAGACACAAATGAAATTGCAGTGACCTACTTTTGGGTTGTATCAAAACTTCTTCCCAAGATGTTTCAACTGTCAAAATTCGAGAGCCATTGATCAATGGGCCAAATGTCCTGTGTATGTCAAAATGACTCACATGTTCACTGTTATTATGGTCATCATATCAAATTCCATGATTTCAATAATTTGAACTTACAGTATATGAAGGGTTAATGTAATCTTTTCAAACTGCAGCCATTATATTCTTGTGAAAGTCAATATATTTTTGAATAAAATTTGTTCCCCAATTATGGCCAAGTCCTTGTCTAAGGGAGTATCCACATATCAAATGTATACATGTTTGATTAATGTGATACTATGCTGCATTAAAATAATACCCAAAGTGTGTGACAAAAAAGTATTGCCTTGAATTCATTTTTTTTTTTTAAAACGGATGGATTTGTAGCCCTCTGGTATGCCTGTCTGAATTTTCTGTCCCAGAGCAACTGTTCTGCAGCAAACTGTGGCCCAACCCAAACCAAGAGGCCATGGTTTGGACAAACCTGATTCAACCCCACAGGAGGATGCTTCATGCATATCAATATGACTCATTTTCCTTTCAATTCCTATACAAAGCTCCAACCACTATTTTGGCCCCATTCAAGCTACCGAGTGATATAATTTAAAATATGTAAATGAGCATTCACATAAGTTATGTTTTTTCTTGCTCAGTAATTTTTGAAAACAAGACGTAACCAACTTTTCACTCTTTATCCCCTTTTGGAAGAAGAGTGTCCATATGAACAAATCTGAATCCCTTTTACCCCAGGAATGCATTATGGCAAGTTTTGCTAAATTGGTCCAGTGGTTCTGATGAAGTTGAAAATGTTCAAGTTAGCAAACCACACATAATGGATGACGGACAGATATACACTAAAACTGTTCTATCAGAACAAGAGGTTCATGAGCCTTAACAGTACATGTGGCTTAAGTATCATGCATTTCTCAGGCTATTACAAGGTATTGAAAACTTCAATATCTTAGCCCCTACCTGGTGCCCGATCTCTGAACATAGAGGCATGAACTTTATAATTTTTGCAGAGACAAGCTGCTCATGATAGTCCTGCAAACAGTTTGCCTGCTAGATGCCCATGAGTGATGAAGATTCTTAAAGATGTATTGAGTTTCCACCTCTACCCTGGAGCCTGAACCCTCAAGGGCCATATATTTCATGTCAGTGAAATTAATTTGAAATTGGCCCAGCTGTGCTTAAAAAAACTAGAAATATGTCCATAGGGCATGAATGCCCTGCCAAGGGTATATTAGTAATGCAACATGAAAATTTGTATTAGTGTATGGAGTTTGATGAGAAAATCTAGAATAATTTCTTTAAAATTGAAATTGAAATCTAAAAAATTGGATATAGTTGATAAATTCTCAATGATTTAGATGATAAATTTATACCAAATTATGTTAACTGCATAATCTTACATAAAAATATTCTAAACGATTTCTTTAAAACTAAGCAAAATGCAAATTCAAGAAAAGTGAGGTCAAGGTCACAGAAAAGTTCAAGGTCAAAAGTTTTTGATGCAGTTGAATAGCTCTCACTAATATGTATGAGCATATGAAGTTTATTAAAAATATCTTGAATGGTTTATTTAAAACTGCGCAAAACACTAATTCAAGAATAGTGAAGTCAAGGTCAAAGAAAAGGTCAAGGTCAAAAAATGTTGATGCAGTTGAAAAGCTAACATCACTATGTATCAGCATATGAAGTTTGATTACACTATCATGAAGGGTTTCTTAAAAACTGAGCTAGACACTAATTTAAGGAAAGTGGGGTCAAGGTCAAAGGAAAGGTCAAGGTCAAAAAATGTTGATGCAGTTGAATAGCTTACTTCAGTATGTAGCAGCATATGATGTTTGATTTCACTATCTTGAATGGTTTCTTTAAAACTGAGCTAAACACTAATTTACGAAAGGTGAGGCCAAGGTTAAAGGAAAGGTCAAGGTCAAAAAATGTTGATGCAGTTGAATAGCTCTCATCAATATGTATCAGCATATGAAATTTGATAAAAATAACTTGAATAGTTTCTTTGAAACTGAGCCTTGAACTGAGTGTGACAGAAGGACAGAAGACGGACATGACAGACATATTCATGGCGGGGTATGAAAATGAAAATATTAAGTTTTTGATCAATGGACGACAAAAATAAAAGCAACAGATCACCCGAATGAATCTTGAGACTTAAAACACATAGATACATTCAAATTTTCAAGCATTATTTAAGACTTACTTTTCTGAACATATCCAGTATTCAGACTGCAAGGTTTCTTTGGCAATAAAGCATTATCAAACACCATGGTTTCTAGCACACAGGGTCCAGAAGACTCCAGACACAGACTGATGTTGAGGCTCACTTGGTAATTTCTGTCAGCTTTCAGGTCATACACTTTATACCTTTGGTTGAAGGTAAAACAGTAAGAAATAAGATAAACTCTCATCATCTTTTAATTTCTTTTCAAGCCGAGGTTATTGAAAGAAGAGGCCCATAAGTCACAATGCTTTTCTGAGTCTCTATGCATCTGCTGTTCTTCATTGGCAGATTTTTTTTTAAAAATTTTTTTTTATAAAAGAGAAAAAGCTTTTTAAAGAATTTATGCATTTTCAGTATGTTAACAATAGAGTCCCACCTTAAGGGGAAGAAGGACCTTTAGCTGAAAAAATACTTGTCATTCAATTTTTTTTTATATTTTGTATATTTCTAATTAAGTATGTCCCACATATCTTAAAGCAGTTGTATCATTAGGTTTCTTACCTTATTTTAGAGATATTGATTGACAAATACTATGCCCTACAGTATCAAATTGGAGTTTTAATTCTCCACGTTTCCGGGCTCTTTACTCTGTCCATAATGGGATTTTTAAAGCATATATAAAAAATATGTAAGTGAACATGTATCTTTTAAAATATTTTAGAGTTTGAATAGCGATTAAAATTCGAAAAAGCAAGTTTCTTCTATCACACTGCATCTGGATAGGGAAAATTACGAACTTTTTAAGACAACTTAAACAACAAAAAATGCAATTTACAAAAAATTCTATCATTCAATATTTTTAAATTCACGTTGAAATGCAAGTCCTTCTAATTATTGATTAACTGTAAAAATTTTGAATGGTGAAGCTGACTTCAATATTGCACAGGGCATCGTTAAAGAGGACATAAGCAGAACAAAAACGTGTCATGTTTACATTTCTCGAGTACGGGAAAAACCATCTATGACGTCACACGTAACCTAAATAAGCGAAATAAGATATACCTACATAAGATTTCCGTCATCAGCCATGCAAAAATAATTTTTGTGTTCCCCGTTTCTCAAAATATTTCATCATATACTGATTATGACCTGTTTTTACATAATAATACCGCCCCTGTATTCACCGAGTATGATCTTGCTGTACTAACAGATCGTGTATGACGTCACCGACGAATTGGACACGCAGTTTAGGGAAACAGAGGAGTGGATCAATCTTTTTCATAATTTGTTAATGTTTGCAAGAATGTTAAACTTTTCATTTTTTTTTAATATTAGATGGTAATTAAAGAAAAAAAATGTCAAAAAATTATACAAGAACTGATGCTTTACACGTTTTGCAATTATATAAACGGAGACTATGATGTAGTTAAACAGAGTCATGTGACCATGTGTCCTTCATCCCCTTAATTCAAAAACCCCTGACCCTGGGGCCACTAATTTCACAATTTTGTTAGAAAACTCAATGCTTATTACAATCATGCCAAAATTTGACTGTTTAATGTCCAGTCGTAAAGATAAAGACTTTCAAAGAATGTGTATAAATATATAATTAATGTAATAGCTGAAAAGATATTTCTATAGCAGTGTTCTTCAAATGTATCAATTTTGTCATATCTAAAATTTAGTGTCATATGTAGGTTAATGACTTTCAGGACCAATCTTGGTTAGCACTTTCATCACTCTACATGTTGTAATTTCACATGCAGTATTCACATATATATCCCAAATATTACCAGTAAATCATATCTGAATTAAGAAATCAAACTTACTTCATTTGGACTATATTCCTAAGGTCATAGTGCTGTTCAACACCTTTAAACAAAAAAGAGAAAGCCAAAGAAGAATGTACTCCATGATAATATCAATTTAAAGAAGCCATTAACAATGGTATTCAATTTTCAAAATTTAGTATCCTTATATAGTTTGTTGTGATTTGCATTGGTAATAAGTATTAGAGGTTTTCAGATGAAATCAATGAAAATGTGAATATTTTACAAGCAGATCTATCAAACAATAAACTATCACAGTAGGTAAATGTGATAATGCATCTCTCACCAAACTGGAAGTCATAAAGAGAGATTTGATGCACAAAGTTTTCAATGCCCAGTGAAATCCTTTGGTTACAAGGGTCCAGGTCTAAAACAGTGCTGAAGGTCTTCTTTAGTGGTGTGTTTATAGTTATACAGCAGTGGACAGATGTACATGTGGAGGGTATGTGACACAGGAGTCCTGCTGGTAGGGAACTGGTCAACACAGTGAGTGGACAATCTGGAGGAAAAAACATTTTTAAAAAGAATTCTTTATGATTAAATTTGCTTTATTGACACACCCATTTTCCTTAAGAAAGCTTATCAATATATCAACAAGAAGTCTTTGATGAGATTACTAGTTTAGATTACCTTAAAAAGAAAAGTTGGACTTAATTGAGTTTCAAATTAGATTTGACAGAATTTATTTTATATAATTGTGTGTCTTGATGTTGTATACTTGTAACTTATTGAAATTGTACCAAACTACAGGAAGAGAGGCATTTTGAAAGAATTTTACCACACATCCCAAAGGATTTTATTTAATCTACATCATTTCTTAATGATTATATGTAATATAATACACATACAGAAAGCAATTTCAATTAGACTGATTTCCAATTGAGAAATAGATACAAATTATAAACAACCTTTAGTCCATCCATCTGTTTGATTTCTGTAAATGTTATCTGTTTCTCCACATTGTTTGTCTTTCATGTACTGAGTCAGTCCCAGGTCCTCAAGTAGTTCTAACTGGCCATACAATGGTAATGTGGAATTTGGTCTGAGAGCATGCTCTGTCAACCAACTAGACATTGAGAAACCTAAAAGGAATACCAGCATCTTAATGATCAAGATAAAAGTACTCAAATTATGCATTTCTTTGGCTCACATCGATCTGCTATAGAGAAATGAAGACTAGATTTAAACATAAAACCTAAACATAATTTTTCCATTTCCAAATTTTCAGGAGTTTCATAGTAATATGTAACAAATGAAGTTTATTAACAACTAGAACTGTCCAAAAGGGACAAATACCCCCCGCAGGGTTTTCAGAGAAGGTGCCAAGTCACTATAAATACTAGTATTTGATGGATCTCATAGAGAGGTGTTCAAAATTTGTTTAAACATTTAGAGTAAAAATTTACCAGTAATTGCTCATTATATTTTTTTAATGAAAGAAACAAAGGCGCAGCCTAATAAAACATCAATACTTTTTTGTATTAATCAATAACATTTTTTTTATTACATTGAAAAAACAAGAGGCCCAAGGGCCTTAACGGTCACCTGAGTATGATACAACAATTAAAAGGATGCATAGAGTATAAAATGAGCTGAAAGGTGAAGCTTTGTTGCCCTAAAGCAAGAAAAATAGGATGAACAGGATCAACAAAATAATTGGTCTTAATATTCATTAACAGTTCATAAATTAGATTCTAATCTGTTCCCCATTTATCACTATCACCATACAGTATATTAACAAATTATCAATGCTTCTGTACTATTTTAATCCCTTGTTGAAATCTCTTACATTGGCCTCTCTTGGTCTTTGATGAACATTTAATAAGACAAGTTATTTTTGTCTCATTTTTATTTATCTACTACTTACAAGTCTATCTGATCATTAAAACAATGAAAGTACTTTTTGTATTATACAATAAAAGTTTTTGCATAATTCTCTTATTCTTTTTACCTTTCAAGTACATTATTTACAGTGAAAAATTATCAAAAGTAAATGGCAAAGGGGAATAACTCCTCTCAGTAGAATACAAACTAATAGAGCCCTGGCCAGGACCAGAACACTTGACTAAATGGTCCAGATGTTCAAAAATCTTGTAAAAATTCCCTTTCTTATAAAAACTTTTACTCTGTTTGCCTCAGATATGCCCAGGTGCAGAGAAGATTTTTAAAGAAATAATGCACTTTTACTACAGATTCACTATATTATCAATAGAGCCCGCCTCCTCCTCCTCCCCCCCCCCCCCCCCCCCCCCAAAAAAAACACCAAAGCTTCTGACCCTGGGACCTTAAGTTTGCTCATTATAACTAATCACTTTGTTTATCTGCTTAATTAACACTAAGGAGCAAACAGGATTATTTAATAGAATTAATGCATTTTCACTATATTATCAAGAGCCCCACCCTCACACCAGCACATCTGATCCAGGTATCATGAAATTCACTACTCTGGAAGAAGCACTCTTGCTTATCATAACTATACACTTAGCTTCTTTGCTTTTTTAACCAGAAGCAGAAAAGAATATTTTCAAAGAAATTTTGCTTTTTCACTTTATAATCAATAGAAGCCCCCCCAACCCCCAACCCCCTTCACCAGAACCCTTAAACCTGTGGTCATAAAATTCACAATTTTGGAAGAGGCATCTTTGCGTATCATAACAATGTACTTAGTCTGTTTAAACAATACCCAGGGGCAGAGAAGAAGATTTTCAAAGAAATAATTCACCTTCACTATAGGATCTATATAGCCCCACCCTAGCACCAGAACTCCTGTCCCCGGGGCCATGAATTTCACAATTTTGGAAGAGGCATCCTTGCTTATCATAACAATGTACTTAGTTTGTTTAAATAATACCCAGATGCAGAGAAAAAGATTTTTAAAATATTAAAACATTTTCACTTTTTAATCAATAGAGACCCGCCCTAACACCAGAACCCCTGATCCAGGGGCCACGAATTTCACAATTTTGGAAGAGGCATCCTTGATTATCATAACTATGTATTTAATGTGTTTCAATAATACCCAGGAGTAGAGAAGAAGATTTTCTAAGAATTAATATATTTTCACTATATAATCAATAGAGCCCCCATCCTAACACCAGAACCCCAGACCCAGGGGCCATGAAATTTACAATTTTGAAAGAGGTACTCTTGCTCATCATAACTATGTACTTAGTTAGTTTATTTAATACCCAGGAGCAGAGAAGATCTTCTAAGAATTAATGCATTTTCACTATATAATCAATAGAAACCCCATCCTAACACCAGAACCCCTGCCCCTGGGGCCATGAAATTCACAATTTTGAAAGAGGCTCTCTTGCTCATCATAACTATGTACTTAGTTAGTTTATTTAATACCCAGGAGCAGAGGAGAAGATTTTCAATGAATTAATGCATTTTCACTATATAATCAATAGAGCTCCACCCTAACACCAGAACCCCTGATCCTGGGGCCATGAATTTCACAATTTTGGAAGAGGCACTCTTACTCATCATAACTATATACTTAGTTAGTTTATTTAATACCCAGGAGCAGAGAAAAGATTTTCAAAGAACTATTGTATTTTCACTATATAATCAATAGAGCCCCGCCCTAACACCAGAACCCCTGACCCTGGGGCCATGAATTTCACAATTTTAGAAGAGGCACTCTTACTCATCATAACTATATACTTAGTTAGTTTATTTAATACCCAGGAGCAGAGAAGAAGATTTTCAAAGAAATAATGCACTTTCACTATATGATCTATATAGCCCTGCCCTAGCACCAGAACCCCTGACCCTGGGGCCATGAATTTCACAATTTAGGTAGAGGACTCAATGCTCATTACAATCATACCAACAGTTTGACTGCTTGATGTCCAGGAGTAAAGAAGAAGATTATTAAAGATTGCATTAATTTTGGTGGTTTTAGCCCCACCCCTCAGGCCCTGGGGGGGGGGGGGGGGCAGGGACCATGAAATTCACAATTTTTGTTCCCTTTCACCCATAGATGCTATATGCCAAATTTGGTTGAAATTGGTTGAGTGGTTTCAGAGAAGAAGCTAATAATGTTCAAATGTTAACGCACGACGACGGACAAAAACGGATAGCAATAGGTCACCTGAGTGACTCAGGTGACCTAATAAATAACAATTTTTCAAGTATTTCTCTGTTGGAAAGTATGAATGCATTATTTATCCATTTTTTTCTACAGTAAATATAGGTCAAGATCATGACACACCCTCAGGTCACAAGCAATCTTTGTGTGAAGTGGAAACTCCCAGCATCCCAACATTATTCTCCATAAGAAAGATACATACCGGACATGAATGACCTTGGGTCAAGGTCATGAAATACCCTCAGGTCATAAGCAATCTTTGTGTAAAATGGAAACTCATCAAGTTTATCCATAAGAAAGATATGGACTGGACACAAATTATTAACTTTTTTCTTTCACTGACCTTGAACTTGCTCAAATGGCCTTGAGTCAAGGTCAAGACACACCCTCAGGTCATAAGCAATCTTTGTGTAAAATGGGAACTCAACAAGTTTATCCATAAGAAAGATATGGACTGGACAAAAATTATGAACTTTTTCTTACAGTGACCTTGAACTTACCCAAATGACCTTGGGTCAAAGTCAAGACACATCCTCAGGTCAGGAACAATCTTTGTGTAAAATGGGAACTCACCAGGTTTATCCATAAGAAGATATGGACCAGACATGAATTATGAACTTTTTCTTTTAGTGACCTTGAACTGCCCATATGACCTTGGGTCAAGGTCATGACACACCCTCAGGTCATAAGCAATCTTTGTGTAAAATGGGAACTCACCAAGTTTATCCATAAGAAAGATATGGACCGGACACGAATTTAGAACTTTTTCTTTCAGTGAACTTGAACTTGCCCAAATGACCTTGGGTTAAGGTCATGACACACCCTCAAGTCATGAACATTCTTTGTGTGAAGTAGTAGATTCTAATGTTCCTTCATAAGAAAGATATGGACCGGACACATTTGCTTAGACAAATGGACAGATAGACAAGGTGATTCCTATCTACACTACTGCAATGTTACTCTTTAACAAAAGTTCACATATTCTGTTAGTGACCTTTGGAAGTTGGCTTAAAGTTAGTTATGAAGCAACCTTAGTCATAAGCAATCTTTGTGGTGTTACACTGGTTTCGAATATGATTCTCTTTTAAAAAGATATGGTACAAACACAAATGTTGCTTTTTTCTGCTTTTGAAGTTAAAATAAATTAAATGGGGAATAGTGAGGTCAAGGTCACATGAAAAGTCAATGTCAGAAAATTATGACACAGTTGAAATGCTCTTTTGTGTGATATTATTTTGTATGATAAACTATCTTGAACAGTTTCTTTATAAGTATGAAAAGCAAAATGACAAAGCGAGGTCAAGGTAATATTGAAGGTTGAGGTAAAAAATTATGACACAGTTGAAAGGTCTACCAATATTTATCAGTATATGAAATATGATAAAAATATAAGAAACGTTTCTAAAGGCAAAAAAAAAGGTCATAGGGAAGTAAAAAAAAATAAATGAAAAAACCAATATATATCATTTACGAGTTTCGATAAAAGATTTTGAATACTTATTTTGAAACTAAGCTAAACACAAAATGGGGAATAGTAAGGTCAAGGTCACATGGAAGGTCAAGGTAAAAAAATTATGCCACATTTGAATGGTTCTCATCAATATGTATCTATGTATGGATTTTTGTTAAATTTCTAGAAAGTTTCTTTGAAATTGAGCGAAATGCAAAGGTGTTTATCTCTTTCTGCAGTTTTACTTTCAAAATTACAGGTAAATAAGGAGAAAAGGCAGGTCTGTATTTCATCAACCTTTAACACTGAACTTAAAGATGTATCCCAAGTCAGAAAATGATACATGGTAAGTGATTATCTTTGGATATTGATATATCTTTGTGTTTTTGCAAACAGAGCTTTCAGTTCATTAAAATCAAATATGACCCTCACAACATTTCATTACCTTCTTTTCTAAAGACCTTGATCTTTCATATTTGACCTTAAGACAACTTCAAGACATATTTTTACATTATTGAAAATAACATACTTAAAAAGTTTGAACTCGTATAAACCATTGATTCGAGCTTTATGGCCTTTACACAACTTTACAACAGGCAGACAATCATGCCATGATTAGAGATTTATGGCCTTTACACAACTTTACATCAGGCAGACAATCATGTCATGATCAAACAATTTCTTCATGTTTTACATGGTTACTTACTTGTAATCAAAAAACCTTTACTCATGAAATTGCAGGCTGGCTTTGGAAACATCACGTTTCTTACAATGTTTTCTGTCAGAGTACAGTTATCTGGCTCATAACACACACTAAGATTAACACTCATCATGTAGTGAGAATCAAGGATCAAGTCATAGATGACATAACTGTAAAATAATGTAAATGTGTTATTTAGTGCTAAATTTATAACATCCAACATTTTTAATTGGTTTCTTTTCTTTTTTCCCATCATCCATTGATGAATTCATATTTTTTTTCATTCTTATTATTTAATTTACATACATAATAATAACAAGTATGGATTTCAAAACAGAGTCGATTATTTGATTAATCGGTCATACTAATGACTCTTGAATACAAAAGTTTGATAATAGAATGGCAAAAAAATAAACAGATTACAAACACATTTATGAGAATATATGTTAATTTGTTTTGTTGCCCACAGCTTTGACCATGAAGCTGTCCTCATAAAAAAAAAAAATCAGGAGTACAATTTTTTGTATTTCTGAATCAATAGGAAGTCTGCAGGTTACAAAAAAAAAAACCCTTCACCTAAATAGTAAGTATTAAGTTTGTAAGTTGAAAGGTACCTAAGTTATGGTATCACATAAAAGTGTTAAGAGACAGACAGACAGACCTGGAGATGAGGCAATTCCAAGTTTTTATTTATGTTTAGAGGGACAAGGATTTATTACAGAGACCTGTTTTGATCTTTGATAATTAACTTTGATCAAGATTACTGTGAAGTGTGAGCCAAACTGGTGCATGGGCTAAAATATATATACATTATACAGTCAAACCTCGTTATTCCGAACTCCATGGGACCGAGAAAAAACTTCTAGATATCTGAGGGTTTGAGATACTGAGGGTAAAATACAATAAGAAAATAGTGGTTGGGACTTCCAAATCACTTTGACATATCAATGGTATTCGAGATATCCGTGTTCTAGATACCAAGGTTTAGCTGTACTTCTAAGAAAAGGATTTAATTCACTAAAAGATTTGCTTAAACCTTTACCTCTGAATTTGGTTCAAGGTCACTTCAAAACCCTTTCATCAAACAGGACTCAAAAAGGCAAAGTATTAGCCAGATAAGTCCAAATGGACAAGAACTTTATGTAGAAACCTGTCTGACCCTGATCTTTTTACCCCAAAACTTAGATCAATGTCATTGCATCTACTTCATCAATGGGCTTACTTTATCAATGGGCTTTTTGTGGGTGAAGAAGTCATTTAGTCAGATTGAGCCAAGGGGAGAAAATATACATATTCTGGACAAATAATATCCAAAGAACAAGTGGAAGATCATTATAGGGCACTGCATAGCAGAACAGTTATAAAATCAACCATAAAATTTGTCCTTTTTATACCTTATTCTGTAAATTCCCTGGAGATGAAATTGATTTTCTTTACCTGTTAAACAAAAAATTAATTAGCTCCATCATATTTTTACGCTATTTATTAGCTGCATTTCAAGATAAAATCAATTTTTAAAAAGTCTTTTAAAAGCAGATCACATAAAATATCATCTGTAATGATCATATACTTGCCAAAACTAAATTCAAGAAGAGATATTTTCTTCTGAAATTCCTCAATGCCTAGAGTTAATTCATTATTACAGGAATCTACATCAATAAACCAAGTAAATGTGGTATCCATCTCTGGATCCTCAGTACAGCATGTCATAGATGTACAGCTGGCCCCCACCAGGCAGTAGGTCTTCTTCTTCATGTTGTATGGAAGTCCTGATATTCGGCAGGCTAAAAATACAAGTTTTTTTTCCAAAACAGAAACCTGAAGGCCCCCTGGAGCACCCATAAAAGATTACATACAGAAATTTAACTATCTTGCTGTTATTCTCAAACTAAGAGTTTCTGACAGTTCACTACTAATAAACATCTTGCAGATGATTGAAATTTTTAGTTAAAATCTGTTTTGTGATCCCAGGCAGGGACAGGGTGAACACAAAAATTTAACTTTTTTTGCAAGTGATCTTGAACCAAAACTAATGCCTTAAATTAAAGTTATATCAAAACATTCCAAAGCACAAGGAACTTCTTTTAGGTACCAGTTTCTAATATTTCTATGGAGGGGACTATCTAAGCTACTACAGTAAAACTTGTCTACTCTACACCACTGGTTCCATAGAAATTGGCCAGATTAGACAACATTCTGGATTAGACAACATTTGAAACAACTGAATTTACTGAAAGGGACTAAAGTTTACATCATAATAGGCAAGATTTCAGAATACATAACACCTGGATAAGACAAGTTGTAATGTGGTAGCTGTATCCAATATTGTCAATAAAATTCTCTGCATGGAGACAAGTTTTGGACAAAAAATATTATTGTACAATCTTTTACCTGATACAGAATCTTTTCATAAGTGTTATACAATATTAATCATACTTGATTTTTTGAAACTTTTTCCTGTATAACAGGAAATGATACAAAACCTTTATCTAGAGTCCATCCATTGTAGGTGGGCCAGTATGGCGCTGCTGTTCTGCTACATCTAGATTTCTTTCTGTAGCTAGCTAGACCTGTCTCATCTTCAAATTTTGCCACAACATGAGATGATAATTCTGTATTTGCTGCATACCCACGGTTCATTTTCCAAGAAGATAGTGACAACACTGAATTTTATCAAAAATGAAAGTGATAGATGTGACACTGTTTATTGATTTATTAGAGATATGACAAAAATGATTCTATGAACTTATATTTTCATTATTAGTTATGTGATAAATCTTTAAAATGATTTCTCGAACTTAAAATGCCATTGCTTATTAATATACTCTACCTGGCACGGGTTTAGGATCATCCCAATGACACGGTGCATTTTGGAGAAGCATGTTTTGAAATATAGTTTGGTTGCTTACTTCACAGGTACTGGTACTCTCAACACAGAGACTAATATTCAGGCTAATAAGGAGTTTGTTAGCATGGTTCAAATTTTTAATCTCAAAGCTGAAAATATATGCATGATAAAATTGTTACCATATATCTCTTATAGACGCTGGGTTTTTATTACACTTTCAGGAACAAATATACAGAAGTATATTACATGTTTGCTTGAATTATATTTGAATGTACTTACTCCATCCTCAAAACACCTTGAAGCCATATACTCTTTTTCATCCCTGCGGGTGAACAAATTGTTACTGAGATTACAAACAGTTTTTAATTGCAAAATAACTAAAGTTCTGTGAAGACATGCACCACTGACAATTATGTTACCCAAGGAAATTACCTTATTATTATCATCATTTTTCAAAATATATATAGGTATGATTAACTAAAAAGAATTAAATGGACTCAAGTTCTTTCCCCTTCCTCAATATTTTTTTTTTCTGGAAAATGTAGATATCCCTAATTTTACTTGACTGCAGGAGTGAAAACAATGATGAACAAAAGAAAAACTTTTGATGGATCACAACACTAACATAAACTAGAAAACTGACCAGTCAGCAAGGGCCCCGCGAGGGGTAGAAATATAAGGGTGCAGCTAACAGAATGAGAATTTTAATTCATTACAAAAATTTAAAAATATATGAAGAAGAATATGCAATAACAACTGTATTTATAAAATTTCAAGATAATTCCTAAATATCCAACAACCTGTAAAGAGTATCCCTGTATTTACATAAGGCAGTAAAAAACATCACATCTATAATAACTCAATTAAATGTATATTTAAACAAGAATACAACATGTGTTTTCAAATATCACCCAGGCTTGACCTTAACTTCAAAACAAACATCAGTTGCAGACAAAGGTTAATTTATCTTAAAGTGACAAATAAAGATAAACCTGGAAAATCTTCTGCCCCAGACAAGACAATTAATCCCAAGGGATTAATTGTACTGCTCTCTTATCCTTTTCTTCCAAGTTTACAATCAGAACTCTTTCAGTAATGATAGAATGAGATTATTATTGGACTACCCATTATAATTAATAGATTTCTTGAATTTACATATGACAGCCAAAAAAAAATGAATAAATAAATAAAATAAATAAATAAAAACAAAAATTTTTTAAAAAAACATATCTTTATGTTTATCTTGTTTTTAGAATTCAATAAAATCATAACTCATTGTATATTTTACCAAAATAAAGTATGAACATTATTTAAATCCACATTTCAGAGAATGTAAACATCATTCAGAATTGACCTTAACTTCAAAACAAACTTCATTTGCAGACACAGGTGTTAATTAATCTCAATTTGACAGAAACAGATAATGCTTTGGATTTTCTTCAAGAGGAAAGTTAATTAATCCCATGGGACTAGTTGCAGCTTTCATAGTTTACAATAGGAACATTCTCAGCAGTTATCTCTCTTTGCCCTGGCACTCATTCTAATGTAAAGTTAAGGAATCTACCCCACCACCCAATCTCCAAATTGGATGACATAGAGAACCAAACTTAGCATCAAAATATGTCTTACTGCCTCTTCAACCAACATACCATATTTGAACTTAATTGGTCAACTACAAAAAAAGTTATTAGAAAAAAACAGAAAATTTGTGGACGGAAGAATGACAGACGGACAGACAGACAGCTAGACAGACGGACAGACAGACAGACAGAGTGATTACTATAGGGCACCCGCAAATCCTTGCAGGGCCCTAAAAATAAACTTTTCTTCATAAAATTCAAATCAACTTTTTTTTCATAAAATTCAAATCACATGTACTCTCTAACAGAATTCAGGAATCATTTTTCTTTTTCTAAAAGAACAGATGAATATGGCAATCCAACAAAAGAACAACAGAAACAGTGGGGTGATGACCAGACTGGAATAAAAGTTGTTAACTTACTTGCTGATAACATTTTGTTTATTTCCATTGAAATCTCTCTGAACTTCCATTTATCAATACCAATGATGATTTTTGAAGAACAGGTATCAATCTGAAGTGCAGTGTGAAAATTTAATCCTAAGACACTGCTTGAAACACAACATTCTAACCCTGTGCAATGACTTGGTAGATGGCAGGCAACACTGCTGGGAAGTGTTATCAAACTGTCATTTACAGGACACTCTATAACCAAAAAACAATAAAACAAAAACAAGATTGGTTAAAAACCCACAGCCAGTAAGAAGCTTCCTTGACAGGAAAAATATTTAATTATTAGTATTAATATATACAGTTGACAAAGACAGTTTTTTCATGAAATTAAAAATCCACCATGACGTCATAAGTTAGATTTGATGTCAAGAAATGATGTAATATTCAACATTTCAATGATGAAGAAAAAAAAAATTTAACATCAATAATCTTACTGGAAAATATAGCGCGCAGGTTTGCTCAGCCACCATCTTTTGATATTAGGTGTAGATTGATAATATCAATAAAAAGTTTGAAAATTGTTCCTGAGCAAGTTTGCACTCTATAAAAACTAAGTCAAAATAGAACAAAATTTGTGAATTTTTGCATTTTTCTTTCTTTCTAAGAAATAACATGAAATCTCAATAGTTTGTGACAACACAGAGACAAAAATGCAAATATTTTATCTCCAATCAATAATGCGAATTTTTAAAACTGAAATTCAAAGGCTATATCGGGCTGTTTGGAACTGTTCAAAGGTAAATTTAGTAACAAGATTATGAGTAAAATATATGGTTAATTAATGGATATTATATTTTTTGCGGAGGGAATACATATAATACAAGAAATAATATCCGAAGCAAGCAATTAAAAATTGCTACCATAAATCAAAAGTTTTACAAGGCTAAGATCTGTAGGTCTCTGGTTTGTCTGTATATCTGTAGCTCTCTGGTCTGTTTGTCTGAATCTTCTCAACCAGAGAGATACAATTCTGCAGTTATTTTTCTAAGCTAATAAAGAATTTGATGAATCTCTGTAGAAATGACAAAAGAAATACTGTATCTCCAATCTTCTAAGTAGTGGGTATAATAGTCTAAGGTATAATAGACTAAGGCCCTTTTTAAAAATTAAGTTATAACTCAATGCTCAAAAAATAAAAAATTTAAAAAAAAATTAAAAAGCTAACTTTGCTGCTTCATTGCATAAGATTTTAGTGTTCTAAGATTGCTTGCAAACATATACCGTACATACTCGCATATAAGTCGGTCCGCCTATAAGTCAGTTGTATTTTTTGCAGTTATTTTCAAGGGATTTGCCATTGACCCACTTATAAGACAGTACAACTTTTTGACAGAAATGGTTTACAATTTCTAATCAATGTTCTCATGTTTTAACCTGGTTTCAATCAATATTTTTAAAAAATGACGTCAACATTTAATTTTAAATCATTAAAAATTAAGAAACACACATTTTAGACAAAAATAAAACTATTAAAATTTATAAATATTTGTACTTTATGCATAATCTTAGAATACATAAATGATTTCATATATAAAGACTTTGGTCAATGATAATTGGTGGGATTGTTTGTAATACCTTTCATTGTCCAGAAAAATACCAATCTTTCTATGACTCGCCTACAAGTCGGACACAGAGATTTGGACCAAAATTTAACTCCCAAAAAAACTGACTTATAGGTGAGTATATACGGTAAGAGGGTTGATCCAAATGTTGTGAAATTCTTTCTAAAACTTTATTGTGATGTGACAAAAACAAACAATAGCCATATCTATAAAATAGAGTCAATTTGCTATAAAACTGGAAACTTTCACCACGTTCCAAATACTTTTAAAGTCACACAAGCTTTCTTAAAATGGACAATTGTAAAACCCAGGTGAAACTTTGACGTTAAGTTCGGCATGTCATGTCACATATGAATCAATTTAGGAACATCTCTCACTCACATTCAAATTGTCTTAGAATTCTACAGAAGACCACTGGAAAACCAGTTGCTTAATGTACTTTTGTCCTGCCTTTGTCATTTATTTATGCAACTGAGTCATATTGTTCCTGAGATTTTCACAAAACAGAGTAACTGACCTAATTTTGACATTAGCTTATGATGTCACGTTAAACAAGTCATCAATAAAATAACTAAATATCCAGTATTATCAATAAACTTTTACACAATGGTGTGTAAGCAATTGTAATCATGATGAAATTTTCATTGCATATATTTACCGCATTTTTTTCAGTGAATATTTTAAAAGAATTGAAATGAAGGTGAACAAATATGTCTCCCCCACATTTTCAAACATTTGTTTCTATGGCAACTGCCAAAGTGCTACTATCTTTGATTTTTGAAATATTTTTTTTTTATTTAAAAAATTTAAAAAATCCAACAAGGGTATATATTTTCACCTGTTATTTTCAATTAGAGAAATAAAACTAATACATAGAAATTCTACAAACATTTGAATCAACCCTCGTTTCTAAAGCATAAATGAAGGAAAGTGTCTGTAAACCTGAATGCAGACATTTAAATGTATATGTTTATCTTGCCAGAATTCCATCCATTATTGTTGACAGGAACAAATGGAGCTCCAGTTATGTTACAATCATTCTTCTCCTTAAACCTGGACAATTGTAAAACTTCCATTAGATCCTGCAATGCATTTCCTTTCAGTGGTGTGGAATCAGGATATCCATTGGTGGCCAGCCATGACTTTGCAGAGAAACCTTGAAAAGAAAAATTTATCAATTAACTATTAAACTGATTTCCTGCTTTCTAAAATTCCCAACTTTTAAATCCTCTGCGTGATTTATTATACTTTTTTTCTTCTATAAAATTCATCTGTGACTCTTACCTGGAATAAGTTGCTCTGATTTCCAATTACAATATGGCTGTGATCTGGACTTTGGCAGCCTGTTGTTTGAGAGAATAGTGTATTCCTCACAATTAGAGGCACCTTCCCAGCAAGAAAGAATGGAAAAACTGACCAAGTACATGTTGGCATTGGGTAGATCCTCAAGTGTATACCTGGAAGATTTCATTGGAAAATGAAAGAAAAAGTGAGCAAGCTCACATACCCCAGGCTGCCACATTACTTGACAATACTACACATAATGAGTGACAATGCTAATGCATTGAATACCAAATGATTATCCCCCTCCCATTTCCATTTACACTGGTGTTTGTCACATCAGAATCAAATCTGTTAGTACCGGTGTCATATAATATATTGAACCCCGCGATATTTTGAACCCGGGTTCAAAATATCGCTGCGAAATATTGAACCCCCCTATAAAATATTGATCCCGGGGTTCAAAATATTATGGCCATAATATTTTGAACCCGGGGTTCAATATATTATAGTCTTAGGGCCATAATATTTTGAACCTGGGGTTCAATATATTATAGCCTTAGGGCCATAATATTTTGAACCCCGGGTTCAATATATTATGGCCTTGTGGCCATAATGTTTTAAACCCCGGTTTCATTATATTATAGCATTATGGCCATAATATTTTGAACCCCATTACATTCTCTGTTTCAAGCATAGGGGTTTCTGAGATTATAGCGTTGAAGTGTTGTACCTCCTAATTTTAATTTTTTTTTTTTTTGGTAGGTTGGGGTGGAGGTTTAAGCTAGGATTTATGGATGTAAAATGTTGTACCCCCTATTAGGCATATGTGTGTATAGGAGGGTGTTTAAAAATTATTGACCTAAATTAAAAATAATTTTTGAATGGTAAGAGGGGGTTCAAGATATTATGGTAGTGAAATGTTCCAACACCCACAACATTTTATAAGGGGTTGAAAATATTGTGGCTGTGAAGTATTGAACCTCCATTTAAATACTACAATGGAAAAGGAAGTGAAAGTATTTAACACCCGTCTCCCCCACACTCACTTTGATTTATTTGTTAGATCTCAAGGGTTGGGTATCTCTATATTAATTTTTTTTTAATAATGTGCAATACCTAAAGAAGTGAGAATAAAATAATATAACCAAAATATTGAAGTCTGAAATTGTCACCAGGAAATTAAAAATAATTGTCTTTTACCATCAAACCTCAAATATTCTACATCAAATAACTAAAATAACTTGATATGTCTGATGGAAAAACAATTATGAGATATTTATTTCTTTGTCTTTTATTCCATCCCATAAGGTATTTATTTATTTTCTTTAATTTAATTTTTTTTGTATAATTTACAATTTGAAAAAAGAAAATTCAAGGAGCAATGTAGTATCTCTCCATTGAGGAGGTAACAGGGATATAGCACCTGTGTATTGTGTGTACACAAGGAGATGTCATTGGAGGTCAACAATACCCACTGTCTATTGTTTCCCCTTGATGGTTTCTGTATTATCACTGTACAGTGTTTAGAGAGTGTACAAATTGAGTAGTCCAGTTTGAGGGGTGTTTAGCTTACATACACCATTCTGATGTTAAAATCGAACTAATCAAAGCAACTGCAGTCATTTCCATTTAAATTAAAAGGGTAAAGGGACTCGATATTTTATGGTCATAATATCTTGAACCCCCTCCCTCTTAAATTAAAAGGGAATGGGACTCAATATTTTATGGCCATAATATCTTGAACCCCCCTCCCTCTTAAAATAAAAGGGTAGGGGACTCAATATTTTATGGTCATAATATCTTGCACCCCCTCCCTCTTAAATTAAAAGGGTGGGGGACTCAATATTTTATGGCCATAATATCTTGAACCCACCGGGTTCAATATTTTATATGGGGGTTCATTATATCGCAGCGAAAATATGAACCCGGGTTCAAAATATTATGCGATATATTGAACCCGGGTTCAATATATCGCGGTATCAAAATATTATGCTACACCGGTAATATCCAGAGGTAAACTTAATACAACATTTTCAAACGAGACAACAGCTTTTCCTCATAATTTATAATCATGATGTACTTGCTAAACTGTTTCATACAACTTGCGAAACAAGAGGCCCATGAGCCACATTGCTCACATGAGCACATTAGCTAGGGGAAAAAAAAAGCAAAAATCAGTTCAGTATTGAAATGTTTATGGGGGTGGGGGGTGAGGGGTGGGTTTGAATTTTAAACTACCTGATGAAGCTTTCATATCAATATAACAAATGGCTTTGCTGTTCTTCAGCAGAAGATATTTTTTCCATATATTCATTTGTAAAAATTTGATCCCCCATTGTGGTGCCACCCTACCCCTGGAGACCCTCATTTGAACAAATTTTATTAAACACTACCCAAGGATGCCTCCATATCAATTTTACTAATCATGGCTTTTCTGTTCTTGAGAAAAAGATTTTTTCCTATATATTCCTCTGTAAACTTTAATCACCATTGTGGCCCCACCCTACCTCCAGGGGGTCATGATTTGAAGAAACTTGAATCTACACTACGTGAGGATGCTTCCATATAAATATGACCAATCATGGCTTTGCTTTTCTTAAGGAGAAGATTTTTAAAGATATTTTCCTATATATTTCTATGTAAAACTTTGATCCCCCATTGTGGCCCAACCCTACCCCCAGGGGTCATGATTTGAACAAACTTGAATCTACACTACCAGAGGATCCTTCCATATAAAAATGACCAATCATGGCTTTACTGTTCTTAAGAAGATTTTTAAGGCTATTTAAGGTCTTCCGTCTTCACGGAAGACCTTATAGTGATTCTATTGTTTCTTATTAAGGTCTTCCGTCTTCACGGAAGACCTTATAGTGATTCTACTGTTTCTTATTATTATTATTATTATTATTATTATTCTTATTTTTTAGACAAATTTTGTGCACGCATTATCTCGAGAACTATTCAGTGGTTTTTCATCAAACTTTCAGGGATAATGCGCTATGAAATGTCATTGTTACATTTGAAAGAATTTTGGAGAAATTCGTTTCCGGTTCCAAGTTATGGACATTTTTCTGATTTTGAAATGACATTTTATCCGCGCGAGATCTAAAGAACGGCTAAAGATATGAACTGGAGACTTGTTGGAGAGCATAGAACATGACTTCTAGATATGCGGGTTTGCCTTTTCGTGCGTCGTGAGTACTTCCGGTCGCTACCGGAAGCGAATTAAAAAAGTCAATTTTTTCAACTTTTACGTTTTTCAATATTTTTCTTTGATTTTAATAGGGTTAATAGAGACTTTTATTGTAATGCTTAATATATAATTTGTTTTTAAAATTGTCTACCAGAATACATTTTAAAAATAGATTTTTTAGACAAATCTTGTGCACGCAATATCTCGAGAAGTATTCAATGGTTTTCCATCAAACTTTCAGGGATAATGCGCTATGAAATGCCATTGTTACATTTGAAAGAATTTTGTAAAAATTCGTTTCCGGTTCCAAGTTATGGACATTTTCTGATTTTGAAATGAAATTTTATCCGCGCGAGATCTAAAGAACGGCTAAAGATATGATTTGGAGAATTGTTGGAGAGCATAGAACATGACTTCTAGATATGCGGGTTTGCCTTTTCGTGCGTCGTGAGTACTTCAGGTCGCTACCGGAAGCGAATTAAAAAAGTCCATTTTTTCAACTTTTACGTTTTTCAATATTTTTCTTTGATCTTAGTAGGGTTATATCCCTTTACAGATGCAAGTTACCGAACATAATAGGTATCAGATTCCTTGAGCGTCATATGGCGAGACGTGTTTTGTTGCAAAACATTCAAGACTTTTCATTAATGTGTTACTAAATGGAATAGTCCACTTTGGGGGTTAAGAGGAATATGAAATGTGTAAGAAAACTTAGCGCTGCCTTTATGTTACTTGCCCTTATACGATATGTTTATGTACAGTGTGATAAATAAACATTCTTAGGCTCGAAAATCAGGCTATAGCAACATATCTTTTTTAAAATTTCATTGAATCTATCACGTACACTTATTCAATTGAAGACACATTTCAAAGAAAAGGCGCGAAGATTTACTCGTGACGTTTGGCGCGAAATAATGTATCTTGACCCGCCTTTCACAAATGGTCTGATGCAGTAGTGTAGAAGTACAGAAAAAGATTACACGGACATGTCTGTATTTGGAATTGCATAGAATAGAAAACTGAATGCATAAAGAATAAAGGAAGTAAACACAATAGTTTTTTTTTTAGTTTTTATCAGTAACAGATTATTTTCTCTGCTATCAGTTATTGTTAAAAATCAAGTAACAAATCCGATGTAAATCTACTAGCACTTGCACAAAATTTAGCTGGCTAGTTTTCATCCTATAATTCGGCACTATAAAAAAAAAAAATTAACCTGCCTGACACTCGTTACTTCAGGGAATGAGTGCAAGGTAAACATCGATGATGGCTGGTACATTGCGCTAGTGTAGTGGTTTCAATATTAAAGAACAAGGTTCACTAAGGACCTTTTTTAGCCCTGTGAATTTCAGAAAAACTGAAACTGCTTGTTTTTAGTTGACAAAGCATTAAATATCATTTAGACCTTTGATGACTGCGTATCTATCAAAAATGACGTAATTTTCTGGCTAGTCTATGCATTTAGACGTCATGAAATGCGTCATTTTCCTCGTATCCTGAAAATTTCTACAAAACAGCCAATTTTTAAAGCTATTTTTCGATATTTAATTTAGGACGTAACCTCTGATCTTAAATATGCAACAATTAAATGATAGAACTATTTCTGAGGATTACAAAACCTGTTTTATTATTTTTTTTACCTTTTTTTTAAACTAAAACTTGCATCACTTTATTGCATCTCTTTCGCTGTTTTAAAATATGTTAGATTCCACCGGAAATAATCGTCAACTTCCGATCTATTTTTCGGCAACAGTAAACGACTGAAGTCTAAAACTTTCAGGACTGATAGTCAGTCATCAGTTTATTTAAATCGTGACAAAATCTTGTATCGCCGTTACTTCCGATCGTGACAGGAAGTGATGCAAAAAAGGGAATGGTTAATGGTTAGCACGTTGGATTTTCAGGCTGACGACCAGGGTTAAATCTCATGAGTGTTTGAATTTCTTTTATCACTTTTCAGCTTGAGTTTTCTTTTTTTTT